GCTAGTACTTCTTGTTTAGAAAGGTAAATGAAAAGGTTAGAAACTGTCTTTACACTGTGACCTGAAGATTGGCCAAACATATTCCAAACATATTTCTTGTTACGGCATCACACAGTTGGATTTTTATAGTGATAAAAACCTTCCCTGTAATAGTTCAGTTTTGAATACTTCTTTTTGTTTTGGTACTGGGAATCGAACTCACCTTGTGCTTGCCAGGCAGGCGCTTGTGTCACTGAGCTATGTCCCTGGTCCCTAACAGTAAGGTTTTGTTTCATTAGCTATTTTCCATGGGACTGCATTTGTTACAGAAAGGAACAACTATGCTATGCAAAGTGATACTTATAAACGTACACAAGCCTGCACAAACAAAAAACATTGTTCACTGGCTACCTCAGGAAACCCCTGCTTCACCTGCTATGGATCTGGCCTTGCTATTGGCTGGATTACTCAATTTTATCAGTGTGACTACTGGATTACACAATTTTAAAACAACATAAACATTCACCCAAATCAACTTATAAAAAACTACTTTGTAGGGGCCAGGGGTTTAGCTCAATGGCCTAAGTGCCTGTTTGGCAAACTTGAGGTCGTGAATTTGATTCTCGGCACCAAAAAAAAAAAAAAAAAAAAAAAAAAAGAAACTACTTTGGGTAGCTGTCTAGGAACAAATACTTTACCTGCTCATCTTATACTTCAATGGACATAAGGAACATTGCCTAACGCCTATCTCATACCTTTCATTAAGTATTTCTTGCACAAACACCCTTAAATTTTAAGCAAGATAGTTAAAGAAAAATCTTTGAAAATTAAATCAGTCATAGTCCTTTTATCAGATGTTTCAGGCTTTCTTTTTGAAATTATGGGTCCATGTGACTTGTTTTGACCACTCAGACATGGCAAGATGTGTCAGTTCTACATGAAACCTTTAATAGCTGATGTGCATTACACATTAGGTTGAAGCCACACTAAGATAGTCTCTATCAGCTCAGGTAACCAAGAGATTCCTGTGAGACAGAAATGAGGATCCAGGACTTCCGGGAGAACATGGCAGACAGATAGCAGCAGCTACAGAGGCTCTCTGAAACACCCAGCTTAGAATTCAGGAATGGTGCAGAGTAAGGAATCATAAGCAAGAGGAGATATGCCCCGGTGACCCAAGAACGAACTGGGCTGAGAGAAACCCAACTGGGAATGCAATCCTGGTGCTATAACAGGAACAGATAAAGCCTCAGCGTGGAAGCTGGAGCCCGGGCCATTGGAAGCCATGATTTGGGTTTCCCGCTGCCGCCGCTGCGTCTGCATCAGCTCGGCAGCGAGAGAGACGCGTGGAAGCTCTGAGAACGGGAATCAGTGACTGGAGTTGAGAGCGGGACGGGCGGGGAGCCGTGCATCCACCTCCGGTGAGTGAGGGAAAACTGGGACTCTTCTGCGGTCTAGGAGACTCAAACAGAGGACATTCTGGGACCAGGCAGACTTGCGGGAACAGGGCGCTGCAGTGACTTTAGTCACCAATCCCCCTCTCAAGCGGGATTGGTGAGAAAGTGCCTAGCCCACCTGACGTTGCTGGCTGAGACCCAGTAGGCTAGCACAGCCCAGGTCCCAGCTCCTGAAGGTAGATTGACCTGGAGGAGCGGGCCCTGCATAGGCTGCCTGGTCTGCAACTTCCTGGTGCACTGCAGTGGGTGGGAACACCTAGCCGGCACAATTCAATCAGACTGTGGCTGACAGGGAAGGAAGCTGGGCCTCCTATATACGCTTGCGTATATAAGGAACAAAGAATATGGGAAGAGGCAGCAACAAGAAAGGGTCCTCGGCCCCCAATCCTGAGAAAGAGGCAACAGCAGACACAGCACCAATAGATATAAAGCGCTATCTCGAGAGCCTCATAGACAAGTTCAGGAATGAAGTTATTAATGACCTGAAGCTAGACATAAGCAGAATAGTTAGAGAAATGCTAAGCACCACCCAAGAAAAAACAGATGGTGGAATGGAAGAACAGAAAAAGAGGGGAGAATTGTTTAATGAAGAAAATAGAGAAAGCATAGAATACGTGAAGCAGGTTCAAAGAGATTACCAGGAAAGTAAAAAGTCTATCGAAAACTGGCATAACAGCTTGAAAGAAACTAAGGATAGATTATCTGAACTGGAGGGCAGATTTGTAATATGGGAGCATGAAATGAAAAACTTCTTAAAAATAACAAAGAAACAAACAGCAATAATACAAAGACTAGAAGATGATAAGAGGGTCTATAACTTAAGAATTAAGAACACAAAAGAAGAAGTAGGGACACAAACAAATGAACTACAAAAGCTACTCACAGAAATAATCCAGGAGAATTTTCCTAATTTAGCAAAAGGTAAAGATACTCAGTTGTATGAAGCATACAGGACCCCAGCCACCTACAGCCCAAACAGCAACACCCAGGCATATAATAATTAAAATTCCAGAAATCCAATACAAAAACAGAATACTAAAAGCTGTCAGAGACAAGAACCAGATCACTTACAAGGGAACACCCATCAGAATTACAGCAGACTTCTCGGCACAAACCATCAAATCACGAAGAGCGTGGGGGGAAATAATTCAAGCTTTGAAAGATAATAATCTCCAGCCAAGATTGATATATCCTGCACAACTATCCCTGGAAATTGATGGAAAAACAAGGTGCTTTCAGGATAAAGAGGAAGTAGGGGAATATGCAACCACCAATTCAACTCTACAGAGAATGCTGCAAGATATTCTAAAAAAGAAAAATACGAAGAATCCAGAAGTAGTGGCAGAGAGGCCACAATGAATGGAGCAGAAAACAAAATGAAGAAGACAAACTGACAAATAATGACAGAAAAAGAGCTCAACAGAAATGAGGCAGAGAAGACTGGATGATAGGAACAGCTATTTTGGAGAAAACAACGTCATAATAGGTAATGCTGATTTAGTATCATCTTGTTTTGAAATCTCATCAAGCGTTTGTTCTTCTGTCTCCATTGGTCTAAACAGGTGGTATCTTATTGGATTTTATTATAGGATATGATAGTATAAGCGAAACCTTTTATAGACAAGGAGATTATACAGACACCATTGTTCATTTTCTGTTAGTTGATTCTAAATACCTTGTAATACTGTCATTCTCTTAAATGGTTTTACATTGTTTTGATATATTTGATGCTACAGTATACGAAGTTATACTCAAAGATTTCAAGGAAAGAGAAAATATGGTCTACTTTTATGTCAGGATAATCTTGTGGTGAAATACTATTTTGCTTAAATGGTTATGTTTTGATTTGCACTGATTTGCTGTTATGCCCTCTTTTTATCTCAATCTCCATTTTATTATTTACTTTTTTATCCTTTTAATTAAGGGAAAAATAAATTTAAAAATAGCAGGATATATTATAGTAACGCACTTTGACTTTCCATTATCTTGATTTAAAGCCCTGTATTGCTCTCACCATCTTGTTTTGACTGATGTTCCTCTATTCTGTTTTGCTTGATAGTACCAGGTTCGAAAGTTTAGGCAACAGCTGTGAAGACAGTGGGATTCATTATGACGCCCATTCTGGTTGACGATTATCTACTTTTGAAGACCTATAATGTCTCCAATGTTTTGGTTTTGTTCTTTACTGTTTTGTTCAATTTTATTATAACTGATGATATAGGCAATTCTATTAGAGATAGTGGGAGGCATTATGGTAACCATTGTTGATCACCTAGTATTATGCTTTTACATTATCTATTACGTCCACCCTTTTGATTTGACTGACTGTTCTGTTATGTTACATTTGGTTCTACTCTCTTCCAAAAAAGTAATAAGAACTGTGGGAGCAACAAAACCCAAAATGTGTAATTGTCATTGTACAAAAGAGAGGAAAAGAAAGTGCTCTAAACGATATAATTGCATGTATATTTAAGTGTGTAAGATAGATAATGATATTACTGAGTTTTGTTGGATCATTGAACAGAACTGTTTGCGGTCTCACTGTTGGAATGTCCACTTTGTAAGCTTTAATTTTGTAACTTGAGCAATTATTTCTAAGATGACAAAATGTAATCCATTAACTAGTGATTTCCTACTGTTTTTTTTTTCTGTAAATCTGTATAACTTGTACCCTTTCTCTGCTTTTTTTTTCTTTTTTTCCTTAAATAAAATTAAAAAAAAAAAAAAGAAAGAAATGAAGATCCATTGGTATAGGACACAATGCACAGCACAGCAAATGGGCTGAGTCAATGGATGTTGGGACTACCTGTTACTGCAGCATATGCTAGCAAGTCCTAACCGATCCAGGCAAGTGTGTGTTCCTGGGGATATAGTTTACAAACTGTTCTTTCCTATCCCACAGAAAGTACGTTTCTGTTTTTGATTGCTAGGAAAATCAGAAGCCAAGTCCTGAAAGTTTCTCTATTTTTTCTTTATATTGTATACTTCTACTGAAGGCCTATAAAGTAATCACAATCCTCTGTGGAATGAGGTAAACTCACAGTGCTGAAGCCTAGGTTCAGTGAGGTTGTAACAAGGAAAGAACAGATCTTAATTCTGGCCAATCCCTGTTAGCAAACCTCCTTAAGACACCTGAATGAGTACAATGGCTGCAGAAGCCAGGAAAGACAAAGTGAGGTTCAGTCCTGAGTTGCTCACAGAAAGATTGAGCAGGCAGTGTTCATATGTGTACTTCCAGTCAGGAAAGCTTTTATCTAAAGGAATACCTGTAAGCACGTGTCCAGCATGTGGCATTCAAATGCGGGGCTGCTCCAGTGGTGCCGCACTTTCACATAGGATAGTGGTGCCCCTTCTCCCACCCCTAGTCCTCACACAACCTGCTCCAGGTACCCTATGGCCTTGGAAACAGTCTGAAAACTGTGCTTGCAGAATGGGAAGAAGGAACTATAATATTAAAAGATACGACTGACTGAAAGTGCTTTTTAAATTCTAAGGAGCTAAAATACCTAAAAGCACAGTGAATTATTTTTGGAAAAATAACCAGAAATTTTTTTTCAAAATTACCTTAATCCTCATTTCTGTCTCAACCGTTATCTTTTGTTTATCTGCCTCTTTCCTCTTGTACCTTTCTTCTTCTCGTCTTTTTCTTTTTTCCTCCTCCCGCAAACGTTTCTTTTCTAACTCCCTCCTCCTTCGCTCTTCCCGCTTCTCCTCTCGAATTCTCTAAAGATACAGACAAGCACATACATATATTTTCTGGATGGAAACAGTGGGTGCAGAAAGGATATTCACCAGATAAAATGCCAGACGTACCTGCTTTTCTAATTTTCTGTTTTTAATATAGTCCAATAGAGGTGTGGTCCTTCTAGCTAAAACACAAAAATTGCAATGTAGTATGTATATGTAACTTCTACAATAAGATTTCTTTCCAGCCTGCCTACTTATTTAACAAACATTTACTTAATTCCCAAACTTCTCTGCACTGTGACTAATGGGTGAAAATACAGTTCTATCAAGGAAATAGGATGTTTAAGAAGATCAACTATAAACACTGGCTGTCACATCTGGAAAGTCCTTTTTTGTTTGTTTCGTTTTGTTTTTGGTACTGGGAATCAAACTCAGGACCTTGTGCTTGCCAGGTAGGTGCTATGCTGCTGAATTAAATCTGACCCTACCAAATCTTGATGCATGCTAGACACAGTATTGAGGAGCAGAGCACCACAACCTTAAGGAAAGGCCCAGCATCAAGCAGGACTAGACAAGAAGGGAGGCTAACATAAGCTCATTTGAGACTAAACTAAGGAATCTGGCTGGAGATGGATAAAGGTGTTTTGGGAATGATGAACCCGTGTTAAATAATGTTCAACAAGCATTTCTAAATTACACTACTTTGGGTAGGGTCAAGGGCTGGGTTGAAACCAGATTCCACACCATGTCTGTGTTTTTCCACTGTTGATTTATCTTTCTCAGAGGGCTAAACAGCAGGAAGGCAGTTTTGTACTTAGCAAAGCACCTCATTCCCAAGGGCTCCTGAGCCCCATCCACAAACACTGTTCACAAAGACCTCACCCCACTCAGCGGAGTGGAACAGCACCTTACAGAGATAGCTAGACACAGTGGTCACAGGTATGTCACTGTCCTCCAAGAAGCACTGCACTGCCCAAAGGGTACAGAAGACTCAGGTGCTCTGAATCAATAATGGCTCAGGAATACCTCTCCACCCTGCCACCCTTCTGTCAAAACTGAAAATACTACATTCCTACCAAGCCTCTAACCATAACTGTGAAAAAGAAAAAATACATACTCTATAAATAAAGTATTCCCATAAAGAAAAGAGAAGAAATGAGGAAAACAGACCAACAAGTTCTCTTGTCTTTGCCTCTATCTCTTCCAGAAGAAGTTCAGGATTGGCACTGGTTCTTTCCTCTTCCATGCTGTAAGTTTCTAAAAACTGCTTATACTCTGGATCTATAAATTTAAAACAGAAAAATTTTAAAAAAATTATTCCATAATGATAAGAAAGGAATAACACATAATGAGTGTATTTAGTTTACTTTAAAAGAGCTCACCATCTTCGATGCTCCCTATCTTGGCATCTCTCTTTTTCAGCTTCTTCTTGACTACCTTCTGGAATGGGGCAAACTCTACCACGGCAGGATACTCCACGCCTTGACCAAGACATAATCCAAAGACATTCTGAAATTCAACTATGTTTACTTTGGAAAATAATATTTAACTTACTTAAGGATGATGCATGATAACAACAAAGGCAAACTCCAGACTTAAAAGATAAGCTAGCTGGTGGAAGGGCCATATTCAATAAAATGACCTTCATGCGGTGGTTATCAGACTACACATATTCCAAACACTGAACCACTCACTTTAAAAGGTGGCTTTTACTATCCATGGTTTATACCTCAGTAACCCTACCTGCCCTGTTTCTGTACCAAACAATCTATCACCTGAATATCTGTCAATTTAATATTATTCATTTTAAAATGTTAATTTAATTACCAATCTGTTGTATAGGTTCAAGGAAATTAACAGACATAGAGCTAAAAGGGTGTGAGGCTTAACAGATATGTACCACATTCCATGAAATATTTGTTTCAAATAAAAAGGTGGAGAATTAAAGCAGTTAAAACTGATTTTGTGCAGGCACGGTGGTGCGTAACTGTAATTCTAGCATGTGTGAGGCTAAGGCAGGAGGATTGCCAAGAGTTCAAGGTCAGCCTAGACTACAAAGTGAGACACTATCTCCAAAACAAAATAAAACAAAACAAAACCTAAAACAACCACCTGACAGTTGTTAAATCAGAGGCAAACAGATAGAATATGTCTACCTATATACAAAAGCCAATGACTATCCTTGTCACTAATGGCTGGATGACTAGGGAGCTGTAACCCTCATTTGTGTTAACTACAACTGTCCAGAGGAAAGTCAAAAATGAGGAAGAAAACAGGGCTCTGAACTGGCAGAAACAGTGTCAATTCCCTGCTATCCCTACAATGCTTGGTACATGCAAGGTGAATATTAAATAATACCTGATATAGTCCCTGATTTCAAAACCTACTACAAAACTACAATGAAGTACTGGCATTAAGACAGACATATATACTAATGGAATAAAATAGTCTCAAAGAAACACTTGGATATATAGCCAAATGATTTTTGGTTTTTGTCTTTTAGTTTTGAGACAGGGTCTCATTATAAACTTCAGGCTGGACTCAAACTCACAGTGACCTTCCTCCCTAGTGCTGTATTACAGGTATGCATCACTGCACCAGCTACCAGATTAGTGCCAAGATCACTCAATGGGGAAAAGTCAGATCTTTCAACAAGTGATGGTGAGAAAACTGGATATCCACATGCAAAAGAGTGAAACTGGGTCGACACCATACAGAAACATTGATTCAAAATAGATCTAACAGGGCCAGGGATACAGCACAGTGGCACAGCACCTGCTTGGCAAGCACAAGGTCCTGAATTTGATTTCTGATACCAAGCAAAAAAAAAGGATGACACATAAACATGAGGCCTACAACTATAAAATATTTTTTAAAAGAGGAAAAGCTCTATATTGTTTGATTTGGCAGCCAATTGTTGGACATGGTACCAGAAGTATAGACCACTAGAATAAGAGTTTATAAACTGGACTACACTGAAATGAAGAACTTCCATATGTTAAAGAATATAACCAAGGGGCTGGGGTTTAGTTTAGTGGCATAAACACCTGTCTTACAAACATGAGGTTGTGAGTTTGATCCCCAGCACCAAAAAAAAGACAAAAACAACCACAACTGAAAGAGCTCAAAAGCAATTTCCAGAAAGAAATATTTGCACATTCCATCTCTGCGAAGAGGTCACCACAATATACAGGGAATTCCTACAACTCAACAACAACAAAATACACCCAATTAAGAAATGAGACAGAGAATTTAAATAGGTACTTCCCCAAAGATGATCCACAAACAGCCAATAAGCACATAAACAGGGGCTCAGAATCAATAATAATTAGAGAAGGGCAAATCTTAAGGTATCATCAAACCCACTAGGCTGGATACAATAAAAACAAAAACAATAGATGATAAAGTGTTGGTGAGAATGTGGAGCAATCAGATGACTTGTGTGCTACAGTTAAGAATATAAAATACACAAAATGGTGGAGTTGTTATGGAAAACAGCGTGGTAGTTTCTCAAAAAATTAAAACTGGAATTACCGTATGTTCCATCAATCCTATGTCTGGGTATGAATCCAAATGAACTAAAAGTAGGGTCTCAAAGACAGCCTTTTCTACCCTTGTTTATAGAAACAGTATTCATAAAAGCTGAGTTAGAAGAAAATCAAGTGTCCACTGACAGATGAATGGATGAGCAAAATATAGTTGATCCATATGATGGACTATGCCTTAAAAAGGAAATTCTGTAAATGCTACAACATGGATGGACCTCAAGGACATTAGCACAAAGTGAATATACTTAACATTACTGAACTGCACACTTCAAAAAGGAAATGATGCAAGATTTTGTGAATATAGTAATGGGCAATCAACACAATTATCTAGTTCAAGTGACAAATTTGTTACTCATACCAACTGTCCTGGTCTTTAGCTTATTCATTCTAACAACTTGCTCTAGTTTGTTATCCCTTGATAGAACAGGAAGATTAGTAATTAATATGGGGACAAGGGCAAGAGGCTGGTTGGCGGATGCCAGAGAACATCTTATAAAAGGTTTACAGACTCAGTAACACAAAACATAAGAAGGATGGTCTAACCAGAAAGGAGAAAGAATATGTCAAAAGTAGACCCCAGAAAATATAAGGAAATGGAGCCCAATGCTTAAACCATCAAGGACTAATGTTGGTGATTTCAATTACCTCTCCCACAGCATCATCAAGAAATACACAATAACAAAGAGTACTCTGTTCATGACTCTTAAGTGTGTAAGGACACACCCACCCACACCTGTCCGCATTGTGTCAGGTTTTTATCCTTCAGCCACTCAAAAGCCATCAGTATTACTAACCATACCTACGTCTTATAACTAGAAATATTTTTTTGACTGGAATTATTCCAAAGGAAAGTTCCTATGAATCGTGAGTAAAATTATTCTTGGAACACAAAATGTAAAGTTTTCAACACACATGTGAAAAATTTCACTCTTCAACAATTATACAACTATGTGATTATTACAAAGTGTTTCTGGAATTCTTTGTTTATAATATTAATTTTTAATACCAATACATTGTAAAAGAACATCTGAAATCTGTGCTCTTTCAGAGGTCTGAAAACTTAATAAATCTCACAAATATTCCAGCTAAATCTCATTAATAAATCAGAGACAGTAATCAAAGAGTTTAACAATCAATGAACCAACCTTTACTGCCCATAAAGACATATCCATCAAAACGATCTCTGAACAGAAGGATGTCATCGGGATTCCTAAAATTAATGTATGCTCTTGAGTAGAGATATGGATAAAGGCTGAAATACAAGATAATAAAAAAGGGTTCGTAAAAATGTAAGACTCCTTTATTTTTGCCCTGCCCTTCTCTTGTGGACATAAAAAAAGTTTATACCAAATGAAATAATCGACTCTCAATTATAATAACTTGGCTTTGGCTTTGGGCTGGAAAAAAATACAAACACAAGCCTTTTACTGAGGTCTTTAATTATTTGAAAGAGGCAATTTAGGCGGGTTTCTCTACCGTACAAAGCTAAAGTTTTGGTCCTGAGAAACGAAAACGGAAGGCAGAGTTATCTGAAGATCACGCGCAGCCTCAAGGCTGGAACTAGCCTGGTCTGAACCTTAACTTGCCAGACGACAGTCCCCTGGAACTTCTGTATCGCGTGGCACCACTTTGAGGTCTGAAAGATGACAGGACTCACAGGCAAGCAGCGGGCGCAGTCACTGTAAGGCCGGCTGGGAGCCACCCCCGGTCCACGCCGGTCCTCGCTGTCTCGGGTTTCTAACCTTCAGCTACTCAAAAGCCATCTGTATTATTAACCATATACGTTTCATAACTAGAAATACTTTTCTTTGACTGAAATTATCACAAAGGAAAGTTTCTATGGCCACAATAAATGAAAAATCATAAATGGAAATTTCAAAATATCAAATCCCTGAGTCGCCCGCCTTGGGAGAGCGAGATACGGGGCAGATGCTGCTAGGCCGTCTCTGGCGAATCCCGCCAGGGCGTGAGCGACACCTGGTCCTACAAACTGGATTGCACGCAGGAGGCTCAGGACCCCCTGGTAGAAACGCCGGGACAGGCTGGGGACGAGGTCGCCACCGCTTCACACCCGGCCCCGGCCCCAGCCCGCGCAGCCCTCACCTGAGGTCCGCGCCAGCCACCTCGAAGTAGTCGTGCGCGGGCAGCGGGCGCAGCTGCTCCTCCAGCTGCTCCTTCGTGAGGCCTGGAGGCAGCCGCCGCAGGACCACCTGGGACAACCGGAGACTGTCATCCAGCCCGCTCCCGCCTTCACAGCACTAAAAACCGCTACTTCACTGGGGCGGCTCACTGCGCGGAGATTACGCCCCTCTTCTTCAGCGCCCCGCCCCTCGGCCGCCCTCTTCCAGCAAGACTTGCCTCTCCTACCCCTCCCCTTCCCTCCCGCGCCCCGCCCCCACCTTTCTCAGCGCCGTCTTCTCCTCGCGAGGTTTCACGATCCCGCCTTCAGAGATAAAGGACAAAGCTGGCGGTGTCTGAGGATCTCGCCAAGGAGATTCCCGGAGGAACTGGGCCTCCGCGGCCGATAGCTTCTCCTGTCCGCCTGGACTACGAGCAGTAACCGCCGCGCCTAAGCCTCTAGAAGTCTCCTCCGACCGCATCCCGTACCCGCCGCCAGCTACCGCACAAAACCTCGCGATAATGAGCTGGGGTTCCGCCCCTTCCCCTTCCTTCTCCCGGGTACTGGTGTCCGCAGGCGCAGTGGAGGCTTCCGCGTCTGAAGTTCAGAAAGACCCAGAGGGTATTGAATAATTTAAAAGTGTCTCTTTTATATACAGGCAACAGAATAGTTTGCATGCCACATTCTTTCCTGTTTCCTCATGTTTTTATTACGTTGGCTGTATTTTTCACTTACAGATGAGGCTGCACTTTTCCCTTTTCTCCGACAGCCGTAAGGGGGCGATACCCTAATGGCAGCTATCACACCTCCTTTCCCGTCTAGTGCTGTCAAGGTGGTCTGGGACAGAGTCGCAGGATCTTCCCAGCACCCCGGGGTGACTGCTGCGATGCCCACCCACCATCAGCCACAGCACATTCCAGCAATGCAGGAGCTGTCGAGCAAAAAAAAAAAAAAAAAAAAGGTGCTTCTTCCAAGTGTCGGAGGATGGTTGCCAAGACACCTGCGGCTGTCCCAGACTCGTTCCAGGACACATCTGCCCTGGCCTCAGAAGGCTTAAAATTTGGGCCAAACCCAGAGGACTTTTCCCGTCATTACTGTGTAAGTTCTCAAGCAGGGCCATAAAGTGCACAAAGTACAGGCTTAAGGAGCAGCACAGGTTCCAAAAAACCATCGGGTGGGGGTTCCGTTCATCTACTTGTGCTTCTTGGGTAGTATGGGCCAGGAGTAACATCAGGGACTAACTGGATTCTGAAGATCAGCAATATGTGAGAGAGCTGGAGAGGCAGCAGAGGCTGCTCGGAAGAGCTCCAGAAAGCTACAAAGAGAGATCTGAGCCTTGACTGATGCCAGTCTGAAGGAAGCCAAGCAGAGACACTCCTACGTGGCTTGTGCCTGGCTGTCCTCCCAAAGCCTCAAATGTTCACAGGTGTGGAGTTATAAAGGGTTAGTGTTTAGGGTGTGTGAATATGGATTAAGGGTGTGGTACTGGGATTAATGTTATAGATAATGGAAAGCCTCATCGTGGTATAGGTGGCACCAATCAACAGCTAGGTGGAATGTAAAGAGACAGAAAGAAGGTAGGCTTGCTGCTGCATGTTGCTTTGCTGCCTTCTGCCTGCCACACCATGAATTCTTTCTCTGTGATACCTTTCTGCTATGCTGCCCTGCCTTGGAGTTAGCCAACTATGGACTGAAACCTCCACAACAACGAACTGAAACAAACTCTTATTCCTTTAACTCGTGGGTGTTTGATATTTTGACCTAGCAAAGAGAAAAGAAACACACAGCGGTGAACCTGGTTTTTAAGTATCTTTAAAAAAAAAAAAAAAAAAGTTTCGGGGTTGGGGATTTAGCTCAGCGGCATAAACGCCTGCCTTGCAAGCAGGCAGTCATGAGTTCGATCCCTGGTACCGATAAAAACGAAAAAGACAAAAACAGAAAAAAGTTTCAGAGCCAGATGTGGTGGCACATCCCTGTAATCCCAGCACTCAGGAGGCTAAAACAGGTGGGCTGTGGTAAGTTCAAGTCACCCTGAACTAGAGTGAGACCTTGTCTCTAAAAGGTGTGTGTGTGGGGGGAGACACGACAACAAACATTATCTGCATTTCCGAAACTTCTTCCATTAATAAGATTCTCACTGAAGCACTCTTGGACCAAGTGGATTTATTAATTCAATCAAAATACATCAAAATAATCAAATGGAGAATTCCTGTTCCCTCTTCACATTAAGCCCACCATGAGCAAAACTCTGATACTTCTTGTAGTCCCTTCCTGTCCCACCATGAAGCATGTCTTCTGTCTACACCACCTTCTGCAGCTAAGTCAGCCTCTTGACCAACGTTAAAGATCTCTCATGGCCCCTCATAATGACACAACCCCAATTCTCTGCCCTCCACTGTCCTCTCTGAAGCCCACCCAGGTTCTGCTGAAACAGGAACCAGGGATCTGGCACATGATAGGAACTCATGTACACTATTTGTTGGATACCTATTTACTGCTAAATGGAACCAGTAAAGTGTCGTTTGCCCTCCAAGAAATAGCCACCACTGTAGCAACTTTGAAAGACTCTTGTAATTCTTTATTTCCTGTTATTGCAAATAAAGTTCTGAAAAATTTCACAAAATGACAGTATTAGAAATCACCTATGTAAGATTAAATGACAAGAGTATTAGAAATCACCTACATAAAACTAAATTCTTTAAAGAAAACCAGAACATTAATTTCAAGATATAACAACATGTACTTGGAGCTTATGATTTTACATACTTCCTACATACTACTCAGCCTGTTCAAATATTGTTTTATATTTGTTCAGAACTTTTACATTCCTAACCTGCAGCCTTGTGATGGGTATGCCTGGGGCCACAATATGAGGAACTGTCTTGGGATTCATATAAAATATATAATTAATATATATAAATAACAAAGCTTCCTTTATTTCTAAACTTTTGGGGCAGGGCATTGTCATACTAAGTAGTTCAGGGCCTACAGAGAGTGTCTCTGTGGAGAGCCACGGAAGCTAGAAATTGATCACACATGCAAGGCTGGGGCATGGCTATCCTAAGAACAAACTGCACTGGGGCGAGCCACGTGAAGAAGCTGCTTAAGCCTAGAAAAACATCAAGCCCCTATATAACCCAAACAATGGGTTGCTAAGCAAAGGGGTACCACATGACATTGTGTTGCTAAATGTATAAACGTCCCTACAGTGAGGGGGCAGTTCCTTTCTGCCTATCTGGAGAGTAAGGGCTCCACCTGACTCCAGCTTTTGTCTCTTATTTTCTCATCCTCTTACAGTCCTTCACCCAAGTGACCTCAAGAGCAGGGCAGGTCACAGCAATCCTGCTCCTGCCTCCTGAGTGCTGGGTTCCAGGTACATGTCACCATGGCTCCACTTTTTTTTTAAAGTTATAACACAGGTGTGTTCAATCAACAGGCCACAGGTAGGACATAAATACCTGTGTGAAGCCTTCCAAATATTAGGGTAAGTACAGTAATTTTTTTTTGGAAACAGGTTCTCATTACACTGTTCAGGCTGGCCTTCAGTCATACCAGCCACCCCAGGCTGGTCTCAAACTTGCAATGATCCTCCTGCCTAAGCCTCTGGAGGGCTGGGATTACAAGCATGCAATACCATGCCTAGCTAGTAATGTTATTTTTGTCAGCAGTATACTTTTGACCATGGATAGGTTCTAAAAATGTGGTTTACTCCTCAGCCCCTATCAAAGAATAGATGACAGTGACTTCAACTGGTGACCATGACAGTTTCTTCTTTGAAGGTGATGGCACAGCCACTTTACAATGGGCTAGGACAACTTTATTTTCTTTTTTAGAGCAGTACTGGGATTTGAACCCTGGGCACCTTTCAAGGAAATCACATCACTGTCAGTTGCTGGAGAACTGGGTGGTAACAGAAAGAATGTTTAGTGTACAATGACACATCACTTTCTTACATTCTCAAGTGTGAACACATGTTAACACTGTTGCTGATCTGACTACTGCTTAGTTAGGTGTTAAAACACTGTCAATTTAATAATGTCTCACTTTACCAGACTTACCAGATACCTAAGAAACTAACAGGTGCTCAGTGTTGTCAGGCAAATAAATATGAAAAAACTCAGCACTTCATTAGTGGACTATTTGCACTTTGTTTTTTAGTTATTTTTTAATTAGTTCAAGGTAAGTATTTAGATTTTCTAGCCCCAGCTAAAGAAAGAGAAGGCATAAATATAATCACATACCTGAGAGAAGAAACAGAAAAGCCATTAAAAGAAAAATGAAGACTCGGAAACACACTGGTACATTACCCAATGAAGCCCCAAGGCAGTGGCCAATACTCGTGAGGAGCTGCCACAGGATTTGGGGGAATTAAAAGTCTTGTCTTGATGTTTAAGGGAGCACTTCAGTTGCAGGAAAATTCATCTCTGGGTAATGCCTTATTTGGTAACAATGCTGTAACTACAACACTTTTTCTATTAAGACACAGGACAATGTGTCTCCTGAGGCTAAGACTAGAAACAGTTTGAATAGGACTGTCAACAAACAAAACACATAGCTCAAGCCATATTAACTCTTCAATGTCTTATGATCCATTTTTGGAACACCCATAACAGTAGAACATAAAGAAATGTGTTCTTTTCAAATTCTTGTTCCTGGAATTCTTCTAGGTAACATATATGCATTTCGTGTAAAAATTCAAAACATTTCAATCTTTGGCACAAGCAGGTTACGAGTAAGCAGAAGAGTGGGCTGTTCTCTAACCATGCAATTACATCTGGGAATCACAGCAAGGGCCTTTAAATCAGGTCTTCCAGGGCTGAATGATTTCAGATGTGCCTACAAAAGATCAGCCCTTACATGACATACTACAACAGACTTAGCATTTCAAATGGCATTAATAATCGTCTGCTTATTTCTCCTGGATTCCATTTCTAGTCTATTACTATGTGAGAAACTGTGAAAGATGCTAAAATGGTTAAATAAAAATGGAGAAACAAACCTGTATTGTTTACTAATAGTTAAAAGGATATGTCATCAATAAGAAGGTAGGAAAAACCAAATTTTTTATCTTCTACACACAAAAATGTATAATTTACAAAAGATAGTGAATCACTTATTTTATAGAAAAAACTTATAATTTGGCACCAGCACTGGTTTAACTATTTTGAGCTTTAAGTGTTACAGCATTGGGCTTATCAGTCAGTTGAGTTTACTGGCTTGGACCACTACAGCCTTGAAAAGCTTAAATTCAGTAAGTACTATAAATAATCTCATACGACTCTCAGTATTTAATATAAGGCCAAAATATTTAGCTGTAATTTTAAAAACCTGAAATTCTTAAAATTATTATAATTATCACAAACTAACCAAACAAGGATTTGACAAGATCTACACACTTTCATGATAAGAACCACTCAGTAAGGACAAAATTATTAAGATCAAAGCAGGAATTAATGCTTTGGAGACTAAAAAAAAAAAACCCCACAAAGAATCAATGAATCGAGTTGTTTCTTTGAAAGATTAAATTAAATAAAATTCACAAATACTCATCTAACCTTATCAAAAAAAGGAAGATCCACACAAATAGGAATCAAAAGGGTGAAATCACTACAGACCCTGCAAAAATCCAGAATATCATCTATACTTTTTAAAAACTTACATTGTAATAAGAGGGAAAATACGGAAGAAATGGACAGATTCCTAGATACTTATGAATTACCAAAGCTGAATCAAGAAGATATGGAAATACCAAATAAACCTATATCAACCAAAGAAATTGAATATATAATTAAAAAACTATCAAAATGTAGGGTGTGGTGGCACATGCCTGTAATTACAGCATTCAGGTGGCTGAGACCCCTGCGAGTTCAAGGTCAGCCTGGGCTACAGAGTGAGTACAAGGCCAGCCTGATCTGCATCGAGACCCTGCCTCAAAAAAGTAAAAAACATGGGCTGGGGATTTAGCTCAGCGGCATAAGCCCCTGCCTTGCAAGCAGGCAGTCGTGAATTCAATCCCTGGTACCGATAAAAATGAAAAAAACCCCCAAAAAGTACAAAACAAAACAAAAAACAACAACCTATCAACGAAGAGAAGCCAGGGCCTGAAGGATTCACTGCTGAATTCTACAAGAAATTTAGAGAAGACCTAACACCACTTCTTCTCAAACTCTTTAATGTAACACAACAGGAAACAATACTCCCAAATTCATTCCTGGAAGCAAGCATTACCTTGACACCAAAACCAGAGAAGGACCCAACTAACAAAAAGAATTACAGGTCAATTACCCTAATGAACATTGATGCAAAATCCTCAAGAAGATACTGGCAAACAGAATGCAACAAATGATCAAGAAGATTATACACCACAATGAAGTGGGATTCATCCCAGGGATGCAGGGATGGTTCCACATATGTAAATCCATAAATGGAATAAACTATATTAACAGAGTCAAGGACAAAAATCATATGATCATCTCAACAGATGCAGCAAAGCTTTTGACAAGTTCAGCACCCATTCATGACAAAAATGCTACAAAAAATTGCAATAGTTAGTCTTTATCTCAATCTGATAAAAGCCACCTATGACAAAGTAAAGCCAAAATCATACTTAATGGACAAAAACTGAAAGCTTTCACTCTAACATCAGGAATAAGACAAGGATGTCCACTATCTCCATTCTTACTCAACACAGTCCTGAAAACTTTAGCTGGAGCAATTAGACAGGAGAAAGAAATAAAAGGAATAAATATAGGAAAGGAAGAAGTTAAACTACTGTTATTTTCAGATGACATGATACTCTACGTAGAAGAGCCAAAAAAAAAAAAAAAAAAAAAAAACTCCACCAAGAGACCACTAAACTTAAGGAAATTCAGTAATGTGGCTGGTTACAAAGTCAACACTCAAAAATCAATAGTCTTCCTGTACACAAATAACAAATTCACTGAAAGAGAAATCAGGGAAAAAAACACCTTTTGCAATAGCATCCAAAAAATGAAATACCTAGGAATCAATCTAACAAAGGATGTAAAAGACCTGTACAGTGAAAACTACAGAACTCTGAAAAAGGAGATTGAAGAGGATATTAGAAAATGAAGAGATATCCTGTGCTCTTGGGTAGCAACAAGAACAGCCAACATAGTGAAAATGGCCAAACTTCCAAAACTGTTATACAGATTCAGTGCAGTTCCAATCAAAATCCCAACAGTGTATCTCACAGAATTAGAGAAAACAATCCTAAGATTCATCTGGAACCAGAAGAGACCTAGAATAGCAAAGGCAATTCAGGGCAACAAGATATGATAGGGGTATCACAATCCCTGACTTCAAATTATACTACAAAGCCACTTTGATAAAAACAGTGGTACCAGCAAAAAAACAGACCCGAAGATCAATGGAACACATTAGAAGATGCAGAAATAACTGCAGACACACTAAGCCACTTTTATCTTTGACAAAGGTGCCAAACACATTCACTGAAAGCCTCTTTAATAGATGGTGCTGGAAAAACTGGCTCTGCACATGCCAAAGATTAAAATTGGACCCCTATCTTTCACCATGCACTAAGCTAAACTAGGAATAGATCAAAGATCTTAATATTAAAAGAGAAACATTAAATCTGCTGGAAGATAACAATAGGTAAAACTCTTGAAGACAGTGGGGTAGGCAAAGACTTTTATTAACAAAACTCAGACTGCACAGGAACTATCACAAAGAATCAACAACTGGGATTTCATCTTACTAAAAAGCTTTTGCACAGCAAGAGAAATCACAAACAGAGTGACAAGATGACCCACGACATGGGAGAAAATGTTTGCCAGCTGTTCCTCAGACAAAGGATTACTTTCAAGAACATATAAAGAACTCAAAACAATTAGTCCTCGCAGATTTAAAGACCCAATCCAAAAATGGGCATCTGAGAGGAATACATACTTCTCAGATGAAGAAACACAAACAGCAAATAAACGTGTGAAAAAATGCTTAACATCACTGGTCATTCAAGAGATGCAAATTTAAAAACACTGAGATTCCTCCTCAGTCTGGAAAGAATGGCTATTATCAAGAAATCAAGCAATAACAAATGCTGGAGGGGCTGTAGGGAAAAGGAACTCTTCTCCAATGTTAGTGGGAAGCCAGACTGGTGCAGCCACTGTGGAGATCAGTGCGGAGATTCCTCAACAGCTAGGACTACAGTTCCCATTTAACCTATCTATTGCTCTTCTGGGTTAGGGTTTAATTCTTCTCAAAAGAATTAAAAACATCATACCACATTGATGTATGTGCACCCATGTTTACAGGAGCACAGTTTGTAATAGCCGGATCTTGGAAACGACCTAAATGCCCATCGATTGAGGAATGGATAAAAAACAATGCAGTATTCTTATACAATGCAGTACTACTCAGCCACAAAGAAGGATAAACTGGAGAAACCAAAGAAGGATAAACTTTCATAGGTAAATGAATGCATCTTGAGAACATAGTCATTAGTCAAATAAATAAGGCATACGTATAAACACTGTATTGTTTGATGAAAGAAAAACATGCCTATGTATAGGTATATTATATAAAAATAATAGTTCTATTACTGACTTCTCTGAGTTCACTCAAGAGAAAGATTTGTGACAGCACTGTTTGAACAACTCAGTGCAGATGCCTTGTGCTCTGGGTGAATGGTTTTGGGATGACAATGTGCAATGTATGTACCATTGTTGCCCCTTGATTGACGGTTTATGAAATTTGTTTTTCTCTTTGAAATAAACTGAATTCTAAGAAGAAGAAAAAGAAAAGAAAAGAAAATGAACCAATCAATTGTTGGGCGCAGGCGCTCAACATACCATACCCCAGCCGGGACTAAGGACCACGCCAGCTTCCGCAATGCACTACGTCCCTCTTTAAATTAGCCAACCCGTGCGCACCCCGCGCTCACTCAGTACTCTGTGGCAACTCCTGATTGGCCACAGCTGGATATAGTAGCCAGAGCCTGCATCCCATTCCCGCCCTGCTTCCTTGTGGCAGCCTGTGATTGGTCACGGCCAAATATATAAACCAGAGCCTGCGTAAATAAACTAGCAGTTAACTGTCGCCCACAAAAGCGTCTCCTGTCTCCTGTTTCATTGGGGAGCTGCGCCGGTCAATCAATAAACTGAGAAACGAGAAAACTTCAACATGAGAAAAGATACCTGTGAATAATACAGCAACTATCATAGGGTGAAAGACAGAAATATTTCTACCTAAGATCAAAAACAAGAAGGCTCTCTTCAACCAATTCTACTCACTATAATCATGCACACATGGCCAATAAACAAATTAGGGATATAAAATCAACAGAGAAATCATTTCTACATGTTTGAATGAATACTCGAAAGAAAACTAAGAATATTCCATTCACAATGCAATCTAAAAATAGAAGTTTAACCAAGCAGTCAAAAAGCTATACGTCAAAAGCTATAAAATACTTCTAAAAGAAATTAAGAGTAATTAAATATATGGAAATATATCCTGTGATAAAAGTTATTAATATTGTTGAAAAGTGATTACTTTCCAATGGGAAAAATAAGTTCAATGCAAACTGTACCAAAATTCCAATGCCTTTTTAGGCAAAAACTACTAGTTAACACTCATTTTAAAATTCAAGGGTACTACAATAGCTGTAACAACCTTGAAAGAAAACAAAGATGGATTCATACTTTTTATTTCAAAACCTACAAAAAAATCACAATAATCAAAGCACTGTGGTGACATAAAGCTAATCATAAGCCAAAAGAATGTAATTTAGACCCACACAGTAGATCTTCAAATTTTTGATAAATTGATTTTACAAGAGTGCTAAGACTATTTAAGTGGAGAATGGACAATCTTTTCAACAATGGTACTGGTAAAACTAGACACTCATTTTTAAGAGTAAAATTGGACCCTTACCTAATGTCATGCATAAAAATTAGCTCAAAATGGATCAAAGACCTAACCTTATGATTTTAGATGAAAAGTTACATGAAAATCTACCTGACCTTAGATTTTGCAATGGTTTCTCAGTAATATAACACCAAAGAATAAGCAATAAAATTTTTAAAAAGATAAATTTCACTAAGCGTGAGAAGGCAGTTCACACTTAGATCCAAGGTTGTCAGAGGAAAAAAAAAAAAGAAGGCAGTTCACACAATGGGAACAAAACCTATGTCTGGAAAGGAGTAATAGCTAACATACGTAAGAAAACTCTTAAAACTCAATAAAAACAAAAGGAAAGCCCATTTAAAATTAGTCAAGGCACTTAAATAAGTGTTTCTCCAAAGATATAATAATGATAACCAGATGGAGATACTCAACATCACTATTAGGTTTACTAAATAAAAACTAATGGGAAACAACAAATGAGAGTAAAGATGTGGAAAAACTAGGGCCCATGTACAGAGCTGGTGGAATGTGAAAGGGGTACAGTTGGTCTGGAAAAGTGGCGATTGTTCAGTAAAGTACACAAGTTATTTTCTGACCCAGAAAGAAGATTCTTAGGTATATACCCCAAAAAACGGAAAACATTCACAGCAACTGAAAAGTAGAAACCCAAGTATCTGTTAGCAGATGAATGCATAAACAAATGTGACCTCCCTGAATATAATGAAATAGTACTCAGCTATAAAAGGAATGAAGTTCTGATGAACACTACAACATGGGCAAACCTTGAAAATACTATTCTAAGTAAATAAGCCATACACAGAAAGAAACATCTGATGAACCCACTTATATGAAATACAAAGTGGACAAACTTTTACACACAAAAAGTAAATTAAATTATTACTCTGGGGTGAAAGGAGGAGTGGGGAGTTACTGCTTAATGGACAGAGTTTTATTCTCGGTGAAACATGATGGTAGCATAATATTGTTAACATATGGTTGGGCATAGTAGTGCACACTTGTAATCCCAGCATTCAGCAGGCTGAGGTAGAGGATCACTGTCTGTTTGGGGTCAGTGTGGGCTACAAAATAAGCTCAAGGCCTGTTTGAACTGAATAGGGAAACTCTATCTCAAAAAGTCCTAAAAAAAAAAAAAAAAAAACAATGATCAATGCCACTTAGCTCTGCTCTTACAAAGGGTTAAGAGGTATTTCGTATTTGCGTGCATGTGTGTGTTTTCATTAGATTTCTTACAACAGTTTTAGGTTTATAGGAAAACTGAACAGAAAACAGGGAATGCTGGGAAGCCTGCTGGAAGCAGAGCTCCCAAATACGCCTTTTCCCTTCTTCATCCCCTATTAATCCTCTACACTGGTGTAACTGCAAAGTCCACAATTTATGTGACACATATGATTACAATAAACAGAAAAACAATTAAATGGATGACAGCATGTCCAAGAGTCAAACTGAAATAGCTCTCAGTGGCCAAAGCTACTTATTTTAAGCCACAAAATAAGTAATATTGTGCAGGTTTGTATCAAAATATGACATAAGTTCTCAAGAGTCCACACTGATAAATGACTGAATACTTCAGTGGAAGGGAGGAGGCATCTTTAACAATAATAATGCTAACCCTAACCTTAACCCCACAGAAGCTGAGGTTTAACCTCCTTGCCCCAGAGTTCAGAAAAGGGAAGACAGCAACTTGACAGCAGAAGTTGGCAGATGGTGTCATGTGACCAAGCAATCCATGTCAATATCACCTGTCACCTGTGACAAGAAAGGTGTTTCACCTCTATGGCATTTAACCAAACTCAGACATTCTACAGACCACCTGGCAGGCCCTCCTCCAAACTTCCCAGGTCATGAAAAACAAGGTAAGTCTGAGACATCATCCCAGCCAAGTTCACACAGCAAGTGTGATGAATGAACATGAGCAGAATGCTGGGGCAAAGTGAGACCTGGAGGGCAGGCTGGGTTCAGCTGAAATCAATGTGCCATCATTGTTAACAAGGGGGACACTGGTGAGGACATGTGGAAGTTCTCTATCACCTTGGCAAGTCTTCTGCAAAAGTAAAATTTGTCCAAAGTTAAAGTTTATTGAAAAAGATAGAAGACATAATGGATGGTTTACCTTTTTTATTCCAATAGGTATAACTATTTTGTAGTTGAGATACTCAGAACATCTGCTGCAAGGTGTGCTATCCAGTCACTCAAGGCAGCCTCTGGTCCTAAACACAGAGATGAAGTTTGGGTTCATGTTGGGAAGTGGGAAATTCTTAAACATGGCAAGGGTAGCAGAGAATACTGACCTACACCAGCACAGACTGGCCCAGGACCACTGTCTGTAGTCACGTGCTATGGTCTGACATAGATGTCTCTAACATCATGTCACTTTCATTCATTTCAATTTCAAAGGTTTCTTCTGAGGAAGGCCTGGAATCTGAAGTTTTCCTGGAGTTTTCCAATGGTACAAGTCCTGTTTCTTCTGCAGTCTGTTTTTCTACTTCAAATTCCCTGAAATCCCACGGAGGTGAAATAATGTTTTTTAGTGTCTTCATTGTATGCACATCAAAGTCATAACATTTTAATTTGTCTTTAATATCTGCTCCTAAAAAGAAACACCATAATTAGAATAAAATGAATTCTATCATTGATCTGCTATTTGCACCATTACAGACAATGCTCCTAACATTTAAATCCAACTGAACTTGAAGTGTATGGACCAGAGTGTTAAAAGTTCCAATAGTTTCCTTCTTATTTTTCACCTTTGGAGCCTTTGGAAGTACACGCAGTGGTGGCTCCCACATGGTTGCCAAACCCCATTAAATGGTGAACCATGTGTGAAAAACTCTCTACTGTGGCTGCTAAGGATTGTCAGTGCTATGCCTGTAAGGAATTGTCACTGACTTTACGTTCATGGGAACCATAGTAGAGGTTTCCACATGTCAGACCCTGAAGAATGTGCATCTGGACATGTCTGAGCAGATGTATTAGGTTTGATAATTTTGACATAAAATAACTAACAATTCTAAATAGTTAAAATTAACAGCTTTTAGGGTTAGGTACTTTGATAGATAAATGACATGCAAGTCTTCTAAAATTAAAAATACTAAGTAGTAAATGGTAACAGGAAAAATGTGTGTCTCACTGTGGCAACTATAGCCTTTGCTTAGCTTCACATTTGAGACTCTTAACTGCCCTGAAGTCAGAGGGACTACAGAGTACAGAGCAGAAATTGCCAACCTATGTCTTCAGGGCGTAAGAACTTTTCTTAAGAACTGAGCACAAAACAGTGAAGTTAACTTCCCTTTAGGCACATAGCTGGATGAATTCCTACACAGGTATTCCATGTAACCACTGACAGAAGACAAAGCACTGGCTGCTCACATGACTACCCTGCACCTTCTTGGCCAGCACTCCTGGCTCTCTCAGCCTGAGGTTGTTATCACATTGATTTTTCCATCACAATCATTTAGTTTTGCATATTATTAGTCCACTTATAAATGGAGGGACTAGCACATCCTCCTTTTGCCAAATCTGTGAAATTTAGCCGGATTCAATAATTAGTCTTTAATTGTGTAGTATGCTGCTGTACAAATGGACTACAACTTGTTTCTTCATTTTCTCACTGCTGGACATTTAGATCATTTCCAGTTCAGAGTGATTATGACTACAGGTGTGGTAACAATCTTGTATGACTTTTGGTCCACACAGGCACGGCTTTCTGTTGGACTCACTTGGGGGGAGAACTGCTGTATCTTAAGACCAGTAGGGTTACTCATCACCTCAATTATTTACAACACCCAGCTTCCTTGTAGTTGGGAATCCTATACAAGATTCTGAGCTTAATTATGTGACTTGATATGGAGCTTTCAACTTTCAAGAGGTCTTGAACCTTTTATTCTTGTTCTTTAGATTCCCAGAGGCCACTACACAAAGAAGCCTGGAATGAAAGCTGTAGAAAGAGGCCTCATAATCTCAGCTGAGTTCCATCAATAATTAGACCTTCACACAGCAGAATCTCAACATGTATACTGTCCACTGCTGCATGTGCGGCCTTGGTGAGGCTATCAGAGAAGCACTTGGCCTAGAGAATTCTAAACACTGTGCACCACCGCTGGCTGAAGCTGCAGACTTTAGAGCAGGATGTTACACAGCAACAGATAACTGATAACTTTAGCAGACATGCTGAATAGTTTTCTTCACTTTTACTTCCAAGATAATCAATATACAGATCTCCAGGTATTCCATGGCACGGCCAACATATCAGCCATGTTTAATTTTAGTTTTTCTGGAGGGTATACAGAAGTTACACACTATGGAATCATTTTTTTTTTTCCCCAATGAATACCTTTATATGTTTTATAACTCCCTGGATACCTTTTGGGAAGCTCCTGCTCAATATTTGCCCATTTTTATCATACTATTTAACTTTTTGTTTTTTAAACCATCTTGTAGGGTTTTTCATATTCTAGGCATGAGTTCTTTGGAGTCAGTCACTTTGCCTAGGCTATAATGTGTCTTCCATTCTTCTATGGTGTTTTAAATTCACAGTTCTTAACTTTAATAAAGTACAATTCAACATCTTTTTTTCCTCTTATCATTTTACATTCTGTAAAACAAATCTTCGCATGCTCCAAATCCGTATCTCAAGATTTAACCTCAGTGTCCCCTCCTGACCTTACAGTAGTTAAGCCTAAAAGAGTGCCTACAGCAATGCCACTGTCATTTATAATACTTCGGTTTATCATTACAAAAATAAAGAATTACATACCACTGTTCATTGAATACAAGGCATCCTAATGTTCCACTGAAATGTAAAAATTAATATTATGTTGTACCCTGTATTATAAATAGAAACACCAGAGCGCTTCATTTATTAAGAAAAAAAACCTTCAAGGTTTCTCCTTCCAGCATGCACTTAGAATCACTCTTCTCTAACACGCACTTCACACATATTGTCACAGTGTTCTGTGCACAGCCAGTACTCAATTCACAACTGAATGGATGCTTAATAAATCACTGATTCCCATGCACTGTTCTAACAAATTTGAGCGTCCTGATATAAATGTAGTTAGAATGGCAGAAAAGATAAACTTAGAACCTTTGATAAGAATTCCAGAAACTATAAGAGACAAACAACAATTTTTAAAAAGGAGGGGGATACACAGCCAAGAAGAATGATTATAATCTTACCAATATAAGCTTCAGAATCACCAATGTACATTTCAATGCAATGACCAAGCATTGTAACAGAAAATGTGTCATCTCTCCTAAGACCAAGGGCCTGCCAACAAAATTCAGGATGATTATGATGATATAATCCCTTCTCACTTGTTTAGAAGTCATCTCACATTCATTAACTTCAACACATTCCAGAGAATCTGGGTGAGGTGTGATTGAGGACACAGTTCTAAGACTGGACACAAGTGAATGACAGGAGAGGGTCATGTAAGTTAATCACTATTCTATCCTTATGTTTAAAAACTACCCCCCAAGAGATTAAAGAACTGTCTGTCCACACACACCCCTCTGAACCTTCTGAGTTTAATTATATCACTGAAAAGAAGTAAATTATATCACACCCAAATACATGTTTGTATCTGAAAGACTGCACAAGACCAGAAAACTTGCTTGGTCCAAACTTCAACTAGTTTGGTATTCTGGCTAATGCAGATGCCCCTGAAAATTTTCAATTAACCCTTGAAAATCAGGGTATCACCAATGAATTTAATCTTTAAAAAGTACATTCCCTCACATTTTATCTCTTTTTCCAAATGCCAATCAGTTCATTGCTTCTAAGATGCATATTTTCTCAAATTCTAGTGTTTCTTATACATAGTGGTCTCCTGCTGCTGCACAACCACAGCAGTGATGCAGTGTGCACAATAGACTTGGTAGTCATGTAAGAACAAAGATCATGGAAGAACATGGGAAGATGACATAAACTGTGGTGGTTGTTTTGTGTTTCTCCAAAAATAAGACCTAACCGCAAAATAAGCACCAGTCTTTACCATGGTGTGTTTTGCATAAGATTACACTTCATCATTTTCTTGCTCAGTGGCCACTCTATAATGGCAGGTAAGGCAAGGTAGCTGAGCTACAATTTTTGATCTCTCATTTTCAAGGCTGATTATTTTCTGGCTAGGTCTTACTTTTGGGGAAATGGGCTAATAATCTTTTGTTGACATGTTAGCAAGCTAAAGAATTCTGAGAGGCTTACAAAGTAGGGTATGTATGGCTGAGAAGTCCAGAGTTAAGAACAGGTTATGTGTACTGGCACCAGGACACTATTTTGGGAAAACAGTGATCTTGAGCACCTAGACTGAAAATCGTGACCATTTATTTTACTTGTATTTTATTTTTTATATATGTATAAGAGTGATTCCTGTGTTTAAAAAAAAAATTTTTTTTTGTCTAAAATGTCCAAAAGAGGCTGGTCTGAAGGTAGTGAGTTATCTCAATTGACTGTTCACAGTCAGTACAGATTGAACTCCTTGTTCTACTCTTTCCCCGCTTCTCACTACTGCACTTGACTAGTCTTTAAAAAAAAAAAAAAAAATGTCCAAAAGAGTATTTCCTTTTTTTTTTTTTTTTTTCCTTAATACTGGGAATTGAACTAAGGACCTTGTATTTGCCAGGCAGGCACTGTGCTGCTGAGCTAGATCCCCAGCCCCTAGAGTACTTTCTTTAAATATAAATTAAAAAGTAAATAAAATAAACAAATAAATAATAGAAAAAATTATGTCAAAGTTGGCAACATTTTTTTCATTGTGGTCACCTTATTTATTGATAGTATCTTGGTTCTATTGAAATGGATTAAAGTAAGATTCTTTCCTTGTGGTTAATGCATAGATTGTTTCTATGTATCTATTATAACAATTTAAAGGAACTGTTAAGAGTTGTAAGTAGAAGTCTGGGTGTTCCCAAAGTCCATTCACCGTAACAGTTATGTTTGCACTTGCCTGCTTGGTTAAGACATCTGGGCTGAACTAAATAACAAGTAACCCTGGTCACTAAAACATTTTAATGCATACTTAGAACAAATCTCACAACTGTTCTAATTTGATGAACACTGCTTAACATGCAAAGAATATAATAAACACTACATTGCCTAAAGAAGTTTAAAAACAGTAAAAACAAAACAAAAACCCTGCCTAGAAGAGATCTTTTCATAAAAAAGAGGTAGTAAACGATATTCAGATTCAAAGCTGATACAAATAAGACATACAGTGTGAAAATAGTCCACAGCATTTTCAAAATTGCCCATCAGGCTATGGATATATCCGATAGCAGAATAGGTGGATGCATTCTGAGGAATTAATACCAATGCTTGCCGGTGGTAATCCAATGCCTCTGCATATTTTCTGTTGAAAGAAGACCAATGTGGTAGAGTTGGAGAATGGGAATAAAAGAAAACAATTATTGAGTATACTAAAAGTACTAAATTTCTAGGATACATTCATCTACATAAATATAAGAAACTTTCCTGTACGATAGTAGAATAGATTGATAACTGACTGTCTCATACCTATTTTTAAGAATTTCAACACCTTGAAGAGTATCTTCTTGGCATGTTCCCTCAGCTGGCCATGGACACTCCTTTATGATCTGCTGTACCACCTTTGCTATCTAAGGGATACTGGAACCAAAGCCTCATTCTCAACTCCTGGCCTGTGCCTTATCACCCACCACCTTTTCGTGTGATGATAAACCTCCCACACCAGTGGTTAGAAGAACCCAAGAAGTTTTGCTTAAAGATTTGGAAGTCACTTGAACAGTGTTCCCAAAACTTCTCTGGGGTATTTGTCTTGTAAAATCTCATGTAGAAAAAGCTTTTGGGGAATGCTACAGCTTAAAATACAAAGTAAAGACTGAAATAAATCCTGTAATGGATTAATTAATTAAACCTTGACTCATCTAGTTTCCAAGACTTTTACTAGTACGTGTCTAATCTATTTTGACTCCCTCCTCACCTCCTCCTTCCCTCTGTCTCTTAATTCCATTCCCATTTTATAAAGAACTAACTCACTACTTCCTATAATGTGTTCTTTATTTTGCTCTTTATTTATATTTTGGGTTTCTCATGTAAAAGAGACCATGCAATACTTAAGTTTGTATGTCTGATTTATTTCACTTAACATTATGGTCTCAAGGTGCCTCTATTTTCCTATAAATGACTCAAGTTTATCCTTCTTAATGGTAAAGTAGTACTCCCACTGTGTATAAATATCACAGTAACTTTTACCTGTCCTTTGTTTACTACACCATAGAATCTCTGGAGCAACAGAGTTAGAACATATACATAATTTGACTTAGATCTTAGTGTCCTGATTCTTCTGAATTAACCTGGAACACTAAAATTGTTTTTAATATTAAAAGAAGTTGTCATGTAATAATGTCTCTAAAATAAAATTAAACCAAAGGAGAAAAATAATAAAAGCATTGATTTTGTTGTATCTGAGCAACCAAGTATAAAAACGTTAGAGGATCTTATGAAATAATAATATGGCAAAGGTTATTCAAAGTTAAGGAAGCTTTTATATTTCTGAAAATATATTTTGGAAAATGTTCTACTTTACTTACTTAAGTTTTCTGCAGACATGGCCCAAGTTGTTCAACAATGGTTCCCACTTGTCAACTGTCACCTAAAACATAGCAACATCAAGACCATGAGTTACAAGTGTCACTGGTTAGCCTGTTTTATTTGAACTACATCATTTCACACCTCTGCAACCAGGAGATCTCTGCACCCCTCTTCTGATGGATGCTTCTGCCATGCATAGGGCAAGGGCATCTGCTGGTTTAGCCATTTTTTTTTTTTTCATACTAGAGAAAGCTTCCAGAGAATTCTCCTGCAATTACAATTCTGTCAAAGAGCCCGTCCATGCTTAAAGAGTTTAAATTGTGCATCTGCAGCCAGATTCTCTCTGAAGCACTACATCTTTTTATCTATCTGCCTAGGAAATATTTCCTTAGAGATGTTTCAAATACTTTAAATTCAACATGCTACATCAATTCATCTTTCTCTGGCTATTCCAGTTCTCTCAGCATGTCCCCTAGGTGCCCAGTCAAAGGAAACAGGTCATCATGATCTTCTAAGACTGCCCCGGGCTGTTCATGGCCACTTCCTGGGCATAACCCCAACCCTGGAATCCTTAGTTATCCATGGGTTTGGGTCTGCATCTTATAAGAGCCTACCCATGATGCCCCCTTTGGAAAACCATTGTCTTCTCACACTTCCCAGGATAAGGTATAAACTCTCTGACAAAGGTTTTAAGGCCATTAATAACACACACCAAACTTTTCTGTCCCACTTTTCAACATTTTCTCATTTGAAAACCCAAGCTACACTAAATCAGCTTACAACTTTGCACATGCCATCTTCTACACCTGAAATATTCTACCTCATTTCTGCTTCACTGACATCTGATCATCTTCAAGACTGAGATATATTATGTAACCAAAAGCCCTAACCATCTTTGTGTCGGGCTGAGCCAATACCCTTCTAGATGGTGCCTTTATTTCTTTAATCACATGGTTTTATTACTGCCAATTTACTTATTTGCATTCCTCAACAGATCTAATGGCAAGAAAGACCAAACTAGCTTCTGTGGCATCCAATGCCTAGCTAAGAGCCTAGGACACAGCCGTTAGCTACATGAACAAAGAAATCTGAGGCACTTCTAACTTCTGCTGAGACTGACCTTAAAAGCACAGCCCATATAAATAAAAATAAACCTGTCAGTGCTTCTTGGGGATGGCCGCTTCTCTTTGGTTATTTTGATATCTAACTTTATAACTAAAGTCACAGTATTTTCCTTTCATATATCATTTAATGACACTGATACTTCAATAAGTGCTTTTATATGTAAAGCCATTATTTTAAGTTTCTGTAAGACTGAAGTGACTGAATGAGTGTAAGAATATAGTTTCAGTTTTACATGTGGCTCAGAAGCATGCTTCTCAAACTTTTCCATGCAGCCACTTGGATTCAGCAGACCTGAGTCTGCATAACCAGCTTCCAGCTACTAGGCCAGAATAAAGAGAAACATTGGATCACTAGAACCACCCAAGACTCAGCTGACGAAAAGCCTACTTTTATATATATCCACATGCAAATGTGTAGAAATAAGTTTAGATGACAGAGATTAAAAGAAGTAAAACTGAGCCTGTAGGGACAGGCATACTGCCACTACAGAGGGCCTGTGAACTGTATCTGTCACATGTGACAGATGTGGACATAAGGAAGAAGGGTGCATGTGACACTGGGATGTGAAAATCAGAACAATAAAACAAAATAGGTATAGCTGAAAGAACTGGGAACCACAGCTGCAAATCCCTTACCTATACAAGTTTATATTGAAATTATTACTACTTTAAAATAATACCAGTGCATACAGATCCTGGTTAGTTGGAGGGCTGTCAGCACCAATTCATGAGGTGCACCATTCATACCCCAGAACCTAGACAAATAGTTCAATCACACAAAGATCTAAATACAAAGCACACAATAGGGGATAGTGACCAAAGGTCTGAATTCAAATGACAGCTGCCACTATGGGAGTGGATTTGCTGCTTACTGCAGGTGCCCTCTCACTCAAGCACCAGGTGCCCAAATTTAGGGTCCAGAGAAGTACTTGTTAGAAACTGCACTGCCACCAAGTTCTACTAACCATCCCATATGCCCAGTTCCAAATGATCATCTCATATATTCTGACTGCTCCCATGTGACCCAGTCAGAGCTATCTAAAGAAGCAAGCACCCAACATCAATCCCTTCATCAAAAAGAAACTCATTTTTGCCATGTGGTAAAAGAGGTTATTATATGACAATTTTACATAACCAAACCATTTGTTATGACAGATGTTAGGTTATTTTCTAAGTAATAGAGACTATGTCTGCACTATTTTCTACATTCAATAGTAAATATGCTTAGTGGTACATAATATATATATTTACAGATATTACATAGAATACCTCATTCCCAATTGCTTTTATTTTTTCCAAAGCATCAAGAAACCATTTTTCTGCTGTTTTCCATCTAAAAATAGGGGAGAAAAAAGGTTGTAGGTTATTCAAAATTTGAAGGTATAAACATCTCAAGAAAAATTTGACTTATCTTTCTCTGGTAGTGCTAACATTAAATGGGGTAATCTACTGAGAATAAATAATTCAAGTTGAAATTTAAGTTACATAAAAGGTTAATCTTATGATATTAATACTGTATGAGTTCAGGATTTAGGAGACTTGATTCTTGGGATTTGTATTATTTAGGTTTCTGCAAACTTCTGGTCACAATGCTTTATCAACTCATCATGAATAAACTTGTCTCACTTCTGTTTCTATCACCTTGTTTAACACGCATTGTTGACTCACTGACACTGAGCTCAAGGCCAACAGCATAGTCACTCCAACCTGAATGAAGCTCACCTGACACCATCTCCTTGGGGAAAACATCACAGCTTCTAGTGCTTCCAATTAAGCTTGGAGATTAAACCAGCAATCAACAACAAAAATGTGAAAATATAAAACATAGAAAAGGCACCCATTCACAGTAAGAGCTGAGCATGACCTCATGCAAGGTGAGACAGCATTCAGGGGGTCTAATCCCCAACTAGTGCATGTCTGAGAAGTCCCCAAGTGCCAGTTTTAGGGTCACAAGAAAATCTTAGTAAGTAGCTAATATACAGATACAAAGCTCACAGACCAAAGAAGGGACTGCATTAAATCAGTATGTATCTTTAAAACTTCAAACTTTCTTTTAATAAATACCAAAATAACTCTACATGCCACAAACAACACTGAAGCTCTAATTTACTGTTTTTAAATTTATGGATACTCTAACACAAAGAATTAACTGTTTTTCTTTTTGAGTATAACACAGAATCACTTAATTTATAAGTAGCAAAGGCTACAGAAAAGGTTCGACCAACTTGGACACCAGAGACTAGGTAATTCTAATTAGTTTAATTTTGTTCTACTAGTTCCAAAACTTGTTGGAAAGCTTCTTAAGTGTGTGTCTAACCTAACTGACAGAGGAGACTAAGGGTCCTAGAACCTCCAGGTCACACAGCAGTATAAGAACTTATGGCAGCCAAGATTAAGGAAAATCAAAACACAGGTTTGGGATTATGAGGAACTCCAAGAAGAAAGTGTTTATTTTTTCTCTTTAACTTCCATTTCCTAAAATGATACATAAAAATAAAAATGCTACAGTGTCACTTTGGTCAACTGAACTCTGGTGAGGGAGGCATCACTCACAGAGTCAACAGAGGGGTCACAGCCTTGGATACTTACTCTCCATTCTGAAAGGCAACCACACCAACCTCATGGATTACAAAAGGGTCTTCTGGTGCAATGCTCAGAGCTTGGCCAAAGAATCTTTCAGCTAGTTTTGAGTTATTGGTCAACCCATATTCTAATCCAATATACAGCATTGGCAGATGACACCTAAAAACATTAGAAATTTCATATATTGAATACCAAATTAGTAATTAAGTAGAAATTTGATAACTTCAGATATCATTTGAAAAATAATTTAAATTTAAATTTAAAAATAATTAAAATCCAAAAACATTTACCTATTTCTGTTTACTAATAATTCATGAACAGCTAATGAGATTTTAGATTAATCATTTGCCACTTCTAGAATCTATCCATAAAACCAACAAGAACATTAGCAAATGTTATCAAAATCAACTTTTTAAGAACTTCAGGAGTTAACCTAGGACCAAGTGTGTGTTCAAGAAAACACTTGGCTCCAGGTAAGCACAGTAAACTTGTGATGCCTTGAAACATACTGTGCCCGCCTTTGGTCCTAGCAGTCCCTTTAGCAATGGCAGCAGTGGCACAGCCCTTGGCCCAGTTGCCACTGGAGGGAGCAGCAGTGGGGCTCCTGCATGAGGGCCTGAAGCCCTAAAAAGGCTCCTTCTATTCTCTTTTATTTGACCTCAGAGTTCTCTGTGAGAAAAGGTCTACCTCTGCTTCACCTGTTGAAAACAACCAACAACAACCAGCACCAGGATTTATCAGTGCAGCTGCCTGAGGCAATTATAGCAGTTCAGCAAACGAGTGCTAACCAAAACCTTAAAGGACATATGAGGAGTAAGATGTCCCTCTGGGCAGATGATCCAGAAGGCACCACCCTCTAGGGGCAGATTTAAGTACTAGAAAGCCCTGAGGAGGCCAAATCTCTCATCTCTGACCTAAAGGCTCAGTGTACACAGCAAGTAAAAGCTGAGGCAGGAGGTCAACAGCATTGCATTGCAAGAGAGTCCCCACACAAGCAGATGGGGATCAGAGCTACTGAATAAGGCTTTTAGTGACCTCACATAGCAAGGGGTACAGACTACAGAATGGATTCTGAACTCACTACAAGTCCTGAGGTGGATGGGGAATCTGACTTTCAGAAATGCCACCAAAAAATAAATAAATAAATAAAGAGATAGGTAAAAAAAAAGGAAATATGGTCGAAATTTGGTCTATACACAGAGAAACAAGGCCACAAGAAATTTGTAGAAGAAGCCCAGATGTTGGGCCTAAAAGAAAAGTATGTTAAATAAGCTATATTAAATATTCTAAGAACTATGTCTACAAAATTAAAGTACGATAAGGATGGCTCACCCAACAGAGAATAAAGACCTAACCGTAACCCTAACCCAATGGAGACACATGACTATGGATTGAAACCTGTGACATTAGCAACCCAAATAAATCTTTCTCCTTTAAGTTGACTTTCTTGGTAATTTGTCAAAGCAATGAAAAGCTGACTAACACAGATGGAAAACGGTATCACAAAAACAAAGGGGAGTTGGAATGACTTAGATAAAATAGACTTTAAGAAAAAAACTGTTAGTCTAGAGACAACAAAGGCTCAATCTACAAACAGTATTCGTGATTATACAGCATCTAACAAAAGTTCTGAATATATGAAACAAAAGTTCCCAGAATAGAGAAAAAAACAGTAAAAGCTGAAATTTCAATGCTCCACTTGCAATAAAAGAATAACTGGGTAGAGGAGCAAGAAGAAAATAGAGGCTTCAGTGACACTCAAAAGATGAAACCCAACAGAGGTCTACAGAACACTGCGTTCTACACAAGCAAAGTTCCTAAGTGTATCTAAAGCAGTCTCTGGAACAGGCCTTATGCTGGCTCATAGGTGAGGACGAAGATCCCACAGATGTTCTCCAGCCACAGGAGAATCCAGTGAAAAATCAATCCTACAAGGAAACGTGGGACATTGACAAACATGTAAAAATGTAACTTTCTTATGTAATTCAAAGAAAAAAAAAAATCACAGAGTAAACTTAAAAATGTTTACCCTATCTCAAAGAGTTACCCAAACACAGGCAAGTTAAAAGAATGCAAGGTTGTTCTGATAGGGATATCTTCTTTTCTGTTAGAATTTAATTACAAAGTTTGTTAGAATGAAAAACAATAAAGATATTGTATCATTCACTGTTACTGACTTTGATTCTTAGTTAGCAACTAACTAGTAACTGCTACTTCTAGCACCTAAAATATCAAAAGCTATCAGGCCTTAGTTTTTAGGAAAAAACTACTAAGTTACTGAGAATTTTTTGCCCCTAATTCATCAGGTTGATTTGGAAATATGCAAGTGGCAGGCCTGAGCTTCTGCACAGATTAGAGAAAGTCTTACATATCCTTATAAACAGGGTGGAGACCTGGACTAAGCATGATGATTACTTATGTGATCAACAATATGCCAAATAACTGCAACCCAGAGGATTATTTCCAGAGGCATAGTTAGAACTCTAGAATGAATGGAGGGGGCCGCCTCAAATCCACATATTAAGCTGAACTCCTACTATGACTGCATCGTGAAGGCACTTATAAGAGGAAAACACAATGAGAAGCTGCCATCTGCAAGCCAGGAGCTGGTAGTACCTTGACTTTGAACTTCCAGCCTTCTACAGTCATGACAAAATAAATTTTGTTTAAATTATCCACACTGTAATACTTTGTTATGGCAACTCAAGCTGAATAACACAGAGTTATGTTCTTCACAATATTTCCTAGATGATTAGTTAAATGTAAGACTCACACTGATCAAACTTAATGACTATAAAAACCTGAGATGATAAATAACCTACATGCAGAACCAAATACTAAAGAAGAATCTGATAGTATAAAAAAGCAGAACAAATCTAAGATGAAATTCAAGATAGATAAATATTTGGTCCTACCCCTGAATTCTACAAGCAAAGGTAGCTAAATTCTATTGAGTACCTTCTATGTTAAGATACTGTTCAAAGTCTTTAACTGGTATTACTGTATACTCCTCACAATAAACCAGTAAGTTATGCTACTATTCCTATTTTTCCAAAGGATTAAGCAGGTTTCCCAAGATCACACAGCACGGAATGGAAGAGCCAAGAAGTACAGGCAGTCCAAATGTATTCAAGCCCTGACCACATTGCCACTGTCTGCTCCCACAGAGATAGAGTCATCAGTCAGTGAGATGTGTCCACAAAAAAGAACTCTACAATGAATAATAATCAATGTGAAGCCAAAGAATCAATGCGAATAACAGCACTATTCTACTCACCAAAGAAATATACTCTCAGGATACAATCAGATCAATACTGAGTATATAGTACTGACATAAACCTATAATACTGGCAAATAGTCTTGCATTACCACTAAGCCACATAAAATAACTTCTGGTAATAGACAAGATATTAACTAATAATTTTGCTCATGAATATTTTCATTTTTGCACAGCATGTAAAAATGGGCTTCTATATTCATCTCTTCCCTTGGCCTAATTTCATAGCTCCTTTTACACCTGAGATAAACTGTGGGAAAACTCCATCTCCATAGTTATTTTAAAATAGCAAAGTAGTGGATAAAAAGCAAATATAATGGGTTTGTTTAGTGTAGCAACCAAATGGAAGAAACAGTAATTTCATTTCATTCTATTAGATGGAAAAAACCAAAAGACCAAACTCTTCCTTGGAGTTCACTCAGTTTGCTCTGTCATACCCTTTCATTAGTTGTGCTGCTGTAAAGTAGGCCGCCATGGCCTGGTCATGCTCACTTTCAACAGCAAACGAATGCCCATAGGCTATCCACGCAGGCCCATAGGTCTTCTCCAGCGTTGTCGCTTTGCTAAAACAAACACATTCATTCAAGTAGTATATTTATTCTTAAACTATTAATTTTATATAAGCAGGTGACATCAAACACATTTATTAATAACATTAGCTCAATAAACTGCCAACACACTAAACACTAATATAACATTTGTGTTCATCTAAATTAAATGTTTAGTAACACAAATAAAATTTTAAGAAACTTAAGGAGGGAGGTCTATACCTTTTTACATACTATAGCTGAGTCCATTAACGTTCTGTACAAACTCACAAATATTATTTATCCCAGGAGTCCATACTGTAACCCAGGGGAAGAAGCAGTAGTGCTAGCAACAGCCACTTAATGGCTGTTCCATACCAAGTATCAGGTTGGGTGCCTTAGAAGCATGATCTCATTCTAAGAACTTGCAAGATAAATTAAGTACATTTTAAAGATAAGTATACCGAGGCTTAAGAGGTAGCCAAAGGGTAGTGGTAGGAGATTTATCCTAGCTCTCGGTTAGACTAAATATAATCAATCTTCAATCAATGAACACTAATGGCTAACACAAGGATTAAAGAGAATATATCACAAAATATGGACAATACAAAAGGCATTTTCCTTCTTTCTAGTATTTTATTTTCTCAGCTTTTATCCAAATATTCCATGTTTCAGGTAGAGTCTACTAAATTACAGACTAAATTAAAGAAACACAGTTCAAAAGCACTCCTACAATAGTAATCATTTTCCTACTCACAAGTTTTTCGAAAGTGCTAAACATACAGTCAGCTAGAGAGATTTTATTTCCTTCTTAGTACAAGGTCCTTTTGTGCCATTAGTTTTTCTAACAATTCTGGAATAGAAGTACTACATCATCCTCATTTTTTAAGAAAGGAGTCAGAGAAATTGACTTTCCCAAGGAATTACAGCAGGTGAATCAAAGACCTTGGATAAGAATTCAAGTCTGATTCCAGAGTTCACACTTGTTTCCTTAGAAACCATTTTCTCTTTTGCTAGCAAGTCTTTGAGTAATTAAATCTTCATATCCTAAACATTTCTCTATATTTGCAAAATAGTGATTAAGAATCAGGAATTTATGTACTCTGCCAAGAATTGTTTCATAGTCTTATTCAGTAACTCTAATATCATGTAAAGCTCTATGTAATTTTACGTCTATTAGCAAAAGCCCTAAATGTAAAGGTTAATAGTATCTTTGTAAAAGAAAAACAAAACCTTTCAAACCATATTCTTCTCTACTGTTTTCTATTTATTCTCATTAATGAGTAAAACAAAAAGCATCCAAGATCTTTTAGAAAGAAGTGTATACCATTAATTTACCTACCCTTACAGCATCTTATAAAAAGGTACACAGGTAACTGAACAGAATCTATCACAGAAAATACTTACTCTTTCATACTACTTGAAAAGTACCTTACAACTTACTGCACTGAAACATCTGAGTATGAAATTTCCTCCCACAGGTTCACTATGGAGGAAGAAAAACAAATTCATACCTGAGATATCTTCTGGCATGTTCATTTTTATGACCAACCATGAGATAGTAACATCCCACTGCAAACCAAGACACCTAAAAAGTTCAAAATTTACCATGATCAATATATCTAGATTTGAACTAGAATATCTGACAAGCTGGGCTATAGAGGGTACACTAGATATTCTCAAGTCACATATTTTAGTTTGAATTAAAAATTTCCCTGCAACAACCTACTGAGGTGCTATATGAGAACAGATACTCCTTAGCTCTTTCTCAAGGTGGCTTCCACAGACAGGTGCCTAAGGATATTTGCCTACATGTCCTGGCTTAACCATGGCTCTCCCTTGCTCTGTGAGCTGGGACAAATTCTTATCTCGTCTGAGACTCAGACTCAGATTTATAGCTTTTGTCTTTAAGGGTGCAGTTACTAATTCTGTTTTCCATTCCTAGATCCGCATTCTGACCCACTGTAGGGTGGAAGACACACTAATTCAATCAGTTCACACAGCTCAGTATGTTGTTTTATTCCATGCGATGTAAGAAAGTTACCCCGAATACATTCCTTACAAAAGGTAGGGTGTGACTGTCACCATCAGCGCTTTATGTTCTGTATAAGTAGCTTAAAAAGATAAGCATGGATATTTCTATAATCAGAAAAAATACAAGTGCTTATTTTGAATTACTACTTCTGTATAATTAAAAAACATAGAATAAAGAAATAATGCCACCTGCTTATGCCTTAAACACTAACAGATTGTGTCCTACTGCTTTCAAATAAAATATTATTTGCTTCAACTTAAATACAATCTAGTGTCTAGATACAGTACTGTTAAGTATTTTCTTAACGTTCAGGTAAGAAAAAAGATTTATATTACTTACAGGATTACTAGGATATAAATCCACCAGTTTGTGAGAAAGATAGAAAAGCTCTGTATTACAGAAGAAGAAAAAAAAATTACTCAAATGAAATACAATTTAAGATTGAACCCTCTCCCTAGTTTCAATCCTTAATAATCAAAAAACTGTTCTCAAAGCAACAACCTTGGGGCTGGAAATTTAGCTCAGCAGCATAAGCGCCTGCCATGCAAGCAGACAATCGTGAGTTCGATCCACAGTACGGATAAAAAAAGAAAAAAAAAAAGAAAGAAAGAAAAAACAACAACCTTATAACTCTCCTCCCTTCTAGGTATTAAGTCATTTAGCTCACAAAGTGCAGAAATCCCATCTGCCAGACACACCTTTCCCAGACCCACTGTGGGGAGTGAGCACTTGCTGGAAAATAGAAGGGCACATGGCAGGCCACAAGGAATGGATGTGCTCAATAAAGTACTTCAGGTATGCCAGAAGTTCCTGCAAAGCTCCCAATTTAAAAACCTACCACCTTATGACACATACCCAAGATGGACCATCTTAGCCACCCACAACCAAACTGGTCAGCCCAAACTTTCAAGCTGATCAGACAGTGTATTATCTCCTCTTGAAAAATATGGGTTAAGTCATAGCAACTTGTGACAACACATCCTACATGCACACTCCAAGATGCAGTAGTCTGGGACAGCTGGACACACTATCTCTCTAAGCAGTTTTCAGGAGATACAACGCTACTGGTCTACATACCAGACAGCACCAGGAGTTTGGATTAGGCTATGAATTTTCTAGCTACCTGACTGAGCTCACTGTTCAGTTATATAAGATTAAAGGGCAAATACTGACCTAAAACATCTAACCACTTCTAAAATACTAAAATGTAGAAAATCCAAGCAAAAAATCTGTTCTCTTCCAATCTGTGAATACTGTAGTTACTGACTGTGCCATATGCATTTTCTTAAGTAATTTACAAATGAAGAAGAAAAAAGTCAAAATCTACACTCAATACTCTAAACCACAAATTACATACAAGAAAAAAAAGAGGAAGCAGGGACCCAGACATGCATTGTTCTATCAGGAAAACAAAGGAGGCTTGACCACCCTGATAACCCTTTCTTCCCTAAACCTTACTTTTGTCACAGGGCTCCACTATGTTGTCACTTCAGTTTCAACTGTCTATGATTTTGAGACACAGTTTCAAGTTTCAGGATTTTCTGTCTTAAGTATTTTAATTAAAAAGAAAATTCTTACCATTTGCTTTGTTCAGCTCCACAAGTGTTCCTATATGTACAGGTAAACAATTTGCATGGAAAGGATCTTTTTCCATTACTCTGAAAATTAAAGTAAAATAGTTTACTACCCTGGAAACAGTATGTGATAGCATTCATCATAACTATTCACAAAAATGCAGAAAATCTAACTTAGCTAAAGGAAAAGTCTGATGAGATCCCTGGAAAGCAGGTGTATAAAGAAGATAACTTAGCTGGGAATATGACAGACAGGACAGAGTGTCAATAGGACTACAGTTTCTACCTTTTTTTTCTTTCTTTGGAGTGCAGGGAACAATAAAACCCAGGATCTCACACATGCAATAAACAACATCCTCTGAGCTACATTCTCAGTTGAGTCTCTAATAAGTGAAAAACTGTATAAAACTATTGCTAAAATGCTGTTTTCTAATTCTCTCTCTTTTTTTTTTTTTTGTCTTTTTCGTTTTTATCGGTACCAGGGATCGAACTCACGACTGCCTGCTTGCAAGGCAGGCGCTTATGCCACTGAGCTAAATTTCCAGCCCTAAAATGCTGTTTTCAAAATTATCAAATGCTATTGATATTAAAATTATCAACAGGGAACCATATCTCTCTTCCAAGGTAGTAAAATACACCTACCTATATGAATGAACAAACTTGTGCCTGTAAACTGCTCTTGAAGAAAGCAACCTATTCTCAAACAGTAAAGGTAACTTCAAACTATCACCAACTACTTTTAAGATTACTCAAAGAACACGCTTATGAATTACGCAGGTGTTGTCTGAAACCTGTTCCCAAACAAAAATGGCAGGACATACTTACGCAGACGTAAGCTTGTAGCACATCTTAAAATCACAGTTATAATAATGTCTCTCAGCTAAAGACACTACCACATCTAGATTCTCTTGCAAGCCATCTACAGACTCAGGGATGACAGTTTCACTAGGCTTGTTATACTGAAACACAAAGAAATTTAACCATAAACTCAAAGAGCAACAACACATCAAAAGACAGACTCAATCTGTTAGGCCCAGGTGGCTAACAATGTACACAGGATATATGTGAGTCCATAAAAACTTTTAAACTTCAAGTTTCACTGGTACTCCCCTTATTCAGTTTAATCTTCTCGGTTTCATCACAAAATTCCATGGTAGGAAATATTTCACACAAAAGTTCAGGAAGCATAAAAAAAACTGATTTTCACACAACCCCACTTATTTGATAATTCAATCTTTTAGTATAAGGAATCCTTGAGAAGCAGAAGGAAATTATTTTAGAAGCTTTTTTAGGAACCATAGGCATTTAAAATAATCCATCCTTATATGTTTGCCTGATTAATAAAATCTTACATTTTAAAAAATTTAATAAAGAAATAAAGGCCAAATTTAATGGAATAAATAAGACATTTATATAAAGCAAATGCTGAGTTTCTGCTTACCTTTTTTAATTTGTTCTCAAACAGAAAACGTAGTAATTCCTGTTCTTCAGGACACAGTTTGCTAAGAGGTAGTGACTCAAGAAGTTCTTTTTCTTAAAAATGGTGAGAAACAACAACAAAAAAGAATATCACAATATATATTGGGAAAAAAGTCAGCTACTAAAATTATGCTTGTATAGTTGGTCTAAGTACATCAACTCAACTGAAAGCAAAAAATGCTAGAGAAAGTTGACATTAATACTTCTCAGGCCTAGGAGACTCAAATCACCTGAACGAGGTCCTTAGAAGGTTCCTGTCATCAGCCAGACAAAGGACAACAGGTGTTAACATCACCAATGCTGTGTAGACCACACACCGCAAAGTATCTAGCAATGGCTCTGTGCTCTATTGGCTAAATGCCAACAGCAACTTCTAGCCTTTTCCCTTTGGGTCCCCCAAAGTATGGACCCAGTCTCAGACATTGCAAATGACCCCAAAGATCAAGAACCTCTTTTTTTTTTTGTCTTTTTCATTTTAATCGGTACCAGGGATCGAACTCACGACTGCCTGCTTGCAAGGCAGGCGCTTATGCCGCTGAGCTAAATCCCCAGCCCCAAAGATCAAGAACCTCTATACTATGCTCGAATACCTGAATCCAATTACCACAATTACCACAGCAATCCCATTTTCTTCCTGGTCTCTTATTTATCCAACCTACATGACCCTGACACACAATGTCAGCAGCTCTGTACCCACAGTACTTTAGAATCAACTGGGAGCTTTAAACCATCTGTAGTGAGGGCCCTTTAGAGATTCTGATTAGACTGGTTAGAATTTGGGACCTGGACACTGATTTTGTGTGTGGGGTAGAGTGTGCTGGGGATTAAACCCAGTTTCTCATGGATGATAGGCAAATACTCTACTGGTGTTTATGCTGCGTACATTCCTAGCTCTCTTACTACTGAGAAAAGGTCTCACTACATTTCCCAGACTGACCTTGAGCTTGTGATCTTCCTGTTTCAGCCTACTGGGATTATAAGGGTACAATACCATGTCAGGCAACACTGATTTTTTTTTTTTTTTTGCTGTTTGTTTTTGTGGGGTTTTTGAGACAAGGTCTTACTATGTAGCTCAGCCTGACCTTCAAGTCACTATGTAGCCCAGGCTTGCCTCAAACTTGTGGTGATTCTCCTGCCTCAGCCTCCGAGTGCTGGGACTACAGGCATGTTCCACCATGCCCAGCTACCCTGTTATTGTGTCAACATCCACCTTGGAGTGGGTGTGATCTGTGTACAATATAAAGGAGGAAAAGAGACTTATTCTTTTCCCCTCTTTTGTTCTGGCTGCTTCTGCTGGCTGTTGCCTTGAAGTGTTGCCCTCGTGCCATGCCTCCCTGTCTTGGAGTCAGCCAATTATGGACTGAAACCTCCACAAACAGTGAGCTAAATAAATCTTTTCTTCCTTCATTTTGGGTGGGTATTTTGTCTCAGCAATAAGAGAAAAGTAATCAAGACATACACTGGTGGTTTTAAAGCTCCTCATGGATTCATAGTACAGCTATGTTGAGAATCACTGAATCAGATTCTGAAATCTTAGTTTATACTATCTCCAACTGCTTTTCAAAAAGATGATCTCATGACTCTATAACTGCTAAAGATTATGGGAGCAAAAGGTATTATATCAAGTGTTGTATTATACTTCCTACTTGAAGATAGGAAAATTAGTAGATCTATTCAAACCTACACATAGCTTGCTCTTGATTGTACAACTTAAGAGAAAGACAGTCTAAACACTAAACATAAAAACACCTGAGTTTCCAAACCTTCTTGTGCTGTCAACATGTGGTGTGATGTTAAAAGATCGAATGCTTCAAAACAGTAGACATCAAGCTTCAACGCTTCTTTATAACTGTAGGTAGCTAGGGTCCGATTATCTAAAGCATCATAGATTTTTCCTCGTAGAAGACAAATAGAACTCTTTATCTGTTGGAAAAATTAGAGGAGTCATACACTAAGTCGGAATTTTTAATGTTTGATCTTATACTACATAGTATTAATTATATCTACAAGGATTTTGCTCATCTCAACTATCAAAATATAATATGAATTAATAAAGATAAGAAAGCAAAGCTAATCTTTAGGCTATCCTCCTTGAGCTCCGATTATTCTATCCCAATGAGTTTTTATAACTAATGTACATGCCATAGTTACCAGTGGTATTACCTCTTTAGCCCCAAATAGGGCGATGATTTACAGGTAGCAGAGGTGCATATGCTGCACAAAAAATGATGCCACAGACTCATAACAGTCCTAATGAGTGCTGTGGTCAGAGTTCAGGAGTATGGCCTGCTGGAGCCACAGATCTGAGTTCAAACTCCAGCCCTTTCACTAAGTACAACATTGGCCACTGATTTAAATTGTCTTGGTCTCAGTTTCCTTTTCTTACTTGTGAAAAGGGGAAAATAGTATCTTACTTATAGAACTGGGTAAGGACTGAGGATGTAACTATCTCATCTTATCATCACCATTAACAACTGATTATGGGACTGGATTTACATTCTAGACCCTGAATCTGAGAAACATATAACTGAGCTGAAAGATGATCCAGAAACAAGCAGCTAAAATTATTAAGGAGAGGGTTGGGGATATAGCTCAACAGCACAGCACCTGGCTGGCAAATATGAGGTCCTGAGTTTGATGCCCAGTACCAAAATAAATAAATAAAATAAAACAATTAAAGAGATGCTATGTTATAACAATATATAAGTTCAAAAGATAATTTACTTTTACCATGCAACATGGGAATTTCCTACTGCTATTACTAAAGCATTGTAACACTACAACTCACTGAGGACTGTGACATTTCCCAGTCACTGGAGGAGTCTTTCAAGCCGCTTTCATCCTTCAGGTTTTTTTCAAATAATCTTTTGTTGATTGGTTCCTCCATATCAAGAATATCAAGAGCCTGCTGATACTCTTTTGCAGCATACTATGTAGAAAATAGAAATATTCATCATTCATGACTTCTAGATTTTAAAAGTATAATACACATTATATTCATTACTTAAATCTAAAACATAATTTTCTTCATGCCTGCCAGAACAATCAGTAATTTAGAGCAAACAATACTAAAGAAAAAAACATTTCCTCATGAAATACTATACTAACCTGCCAAGCTCATCACCCAAACTTATACATGCACGAGGAATGCATAATACTCAACATAATCAAGCTCTCACCAAATAAACAGAACATATAAACATATAATAAACAAATGAATATAATAAACATATAATAAAAAAATGAACATACTTACATGACATCTGGCTGCAAGGTAACGACATGCTTCATACAACTAGGAAAGAAACCGTTTAAAGAGATTAAAATAACATGTATCTTCACTTTAAAGAAAACCATAAGCATAAAACGTACAGAGCATTTTCATAATTTCTTTTCCTCTTCCATTTAAAAAATTCCAATCTTCTAACCGCATATTCACCATGACCCTATCAGTTTACCTGGCAGACAGAATTAAAAAAATAAGTGAAGATCTCCTTTAACATGTTACATCAGGGAGACATGACTGGGGCACAACACATTATGAAAGGCAGGCATAAAAAGCACTAGCTTATTGAAGAAAATTTCTGCAGGAGAGAGGTAATTGAAGAACTAATTAAGAAGTAGAGAGGAGCCTAAATACAATACTTGTGGCATGTCCAAGACATGAAAGGAATCTAAAGAACATGCTGAACATACTGACTAGTATGTTTTTAGTATGATTTTATCCTGTAAGTAGACAGAAATCACTGTAATTTGTGGATGACATAATCAGAGATGTGCGCTACCCCTTGCAACCATCCTTTTGACAGTTTACAAGACAGACTGGACACAAGGCAGATGGGAAAGAAGAAAAGATTACTGGAGAAGAGAAGTGACAAGATAGGCCTCATTTGTGTGACTGGCAAGGAGATGGAAAGAGGTGGCAAGGAACACTCAGAATTTTAGAACTCACAACTTCAAAGTTACATAAAAAAATTAATTTTCAAGCTGGACACAGAGACATGTATCTGTAGCCCTAGCATTCAAGAGGCTGAAGCAGAAACACTATTTGAGCCCAGGAGTTTGGGACTAGGTTGGACAACACACTGGAATTCCATCTCGAAACACCATCACTTAAACAACAATAAGTAAAAGAAAACTTTCTTATTTATTTTTCCAAAACAGAATTTTCATAACTTAGTGACTAGATGGAGTATAGAGGGGAAACAAGATGACTGAGGTTAAGAATAGGAAATTCTCTCTTCACATTCAAGAAGAAATGAATTCTTTTAAGTAGAGCATTCACCTAAAATACTAATCTTGAGGTAGAAATAAAGATTGATAGAAAAGAAACAAGGAATATCATAATTTTAAAACTGTACTTTAAAAAATTCTACAGCTTCAGGACACAAGAATTAGCTTTTCCTTTCCAGGAAACTCAACACAAACAATAAGCCTGAGCTTGGGCCTGAGCTTTTCATCTATAAATTGTTTCTTCCATGTAATGTTAGTGGGCATTTATCACCTCAACTTTAACATGTGTAAATGTTTCACATTCTAATGAAGCCTGACCAAGTGGGTAACCTGACAAAACAGTAGAAACAACATAGAGTACTCACTTTAATGTTGTCCCTAAAGACTACGAGATACCTAGCTCCAGACTAGAATACATCTCTCTCTTGAGAGTCTATACTCTATTCACTCTGAATATGCACTTTTAAAATCCTGCCTAGTGCTGGGGATATAGCTTAGCAGGATAGCACCTGCCTGGAGTGTGAAGTCTTGAGTTCAATTTCCTGTACCAAAATAAATTAAATTAAATCCTACCTAATGAAGCTCCTTATGCCTCTCACTGAAGCATCTTGAAAATTCTTTTTCTGTGACAAAGGTCTGCAATCTTACAAACTACTCCATGGGTGGAGTGAATTAAGGTAGTCCTCTCCTCTTTGGGGGAACTTCCTTAGACCCATCTGGTGATATTTTGATGATTTTTTGAGAAACAGGATTGAAAGCTCTAAAATTCACAAAAATAATGTACTTACTTTGTCCAGTTTTCGTGACCGAAGTGCATGGGCTGCTCTGTGATACTGTGCTGTCAGATAAAGACACTGAGCCAACCAATAGACATCCTGAGGGTCCTCTAGAGGGAAAAATTACAAATGGTCAGAAGTGCAAGATGAAATAGTGTTAAAGATTAGGGAAAAAATTAGCATTTATCACTTACCATGAGAGAGTGAAGCTACTTTGTCTGCCCAAAACAAAGCACTTTGATACTGTTGCTGCACACACAAAAAATGAACAAGTGAACTTGAAAATGAACAAAAAATGAACTGCCCTGTTGCTTTCAGTTATAGAGATGCCACATAACATCTCAATGCAATAAGTTTTTACATGTAGTGTCTGTCAATCATTTTTCTATCTTACAGCTCAGCTAGGATTAGTTTTAGTTTAAATGTACAATAAGAACATTATCATAAGCTCTTTACACATACAATTCATGAAGGTAGTCTTAACAAAATACATTGCAAAAAGTATGCATCTAAAATAATTTAAAATTTAGTCATTACCATGACATTTATAAATACTCATTCAGTAAGCTACCAAAAAAAAAAAAAAAAAACAAACTAAACCAAACAGCTGATACTAGAAAGCCACTCAAATTTGTCAAGGCTAGCTTTAGTTCCTGCTTTATATTATCTTGGTCATGTTACAATTTTTGCCTCAGTTCCCCGGGACAATCCACAACAGGGATGCCTACAGACCAGCTGCAAATCTGCTCACAGAGGGTGCCCCAGGTGAAAACCAGGGTCGTGTTATTTCACTCTATATTCTAATGCCAAAGAAAAAAATGATTAAAAAAAAAAAAAAACTTTTACTTAATGACTAGTAAACAACCCAGCTGCCCAGCAGGGGACAAAGATTAGGCCACATCACTTAGCACTCAGTTCAGAACACCCTGCATAGAACCCAGCTGCTCCTTCCCCGCACTCTTTGTTTGCTATTCCTTGGGAATGCAAATATTTAAAACAACCACCAGCTTCACAATGATGCCAAGTACAGTCTTAAATCCTTCTTGCTGGCCCCTCCGAAGTAGTGTAAGGGGTCCCACGTCGTTAATAGGATTTTTTTTAAGCACTGCCTTGAGACAAGCTTGTTTCTATCCTTCTTCACGTGAATTCAGCCAAGTAAGAATCGTAACTAAAACATTCTGTGGCTAACCAACTTCTACGGCCTGGCTGCAGCTCATCTCCACCGCACCGCTCTGCCCCGCCCCGCCGCCCCGTACCCGAGCCTGCCCCGAGCCCCCAGCCTGCTCTCCCTCCCGCACTTGGTCCAGGTACTGTCGCACGCGCTTCCGCAGCCGCTCCAGATTCATGGCCGCGTAGCGGGAAAGCACCCCAAGCCCCAGAACTCAGCGACCCGGCGTCCCCGGATGACCCCGCCGACAGCACCCACCACACTGCACTTCCGCTCCCGACAGGCCACGTCCCGGAAGTCCCTGCAAAAGCGTCCTCTTTGAAATGGAAAGCGGGTGCGCTACCACTGGTTCCAGGGTTCCTCTGTAACGCTCCAGCTTCGGCTGTTCTGTTCTGTCTTCCCGGGCGCAGACTCACAGTAGCGATGGGCCTAGTAAGCGCGTGGGGAGCGGTCTGCCAGAGCCCGGGCGCGGGGGAAGTTTTCCGCTGGGGCCGTGAGAATGGTCCTCCGGCCGAGAGCTGTAGCAGCGCAGCGCCTTCCTGCAGGGTTGCTGGGCCTCAGAGGCGGAAGGAGCTGGGAGAGACACTTGTCGAGTATCTTCCTGTGCTTTCTGATTTGCAATCCACATACGTGCGTTATCTTTTTTAGAAGAAGCAGCATGCCGAGACGCCAAGAACTTCCTCTAAAGAATCGCACCCACTAAGAATTTGTCTCACCCCTATGAATAATCTGTGTGCTCTTCGGTGCGTGCGCACACTTACGACGGGTGATGCTCAGAAATTGGTTTTCCTTTGGTGTCCAGGGTGTCCTTTTCCACCCCTCCTGACTCTGAGCACCAGGTAGTAATCAGCTGCGCATGAACTAGGGGCGGACAAGTGCGTGGCAAGATAGCCCCTAATGCTTTTAACTTCATGATCTTCCTGTGTTCTTGTGCTTTGTTTTCTTAGGTTCTGCCTTTCTTACTTAAAAGTTACGCATGAGGGGCTGGAGATTTAGGTCAGTGGCATAAGCTCCTGCCTGGTAAATGTGAGGTTGTGAGTTCAATCCCCAATAACAAAACAAAAAACAAACAAAAAAAAAAAAAAAGTAAAAGAATGCATTATCATTGCAAAAAATTCCAATCACGAAGGTGTAAAAAGGCGAAATTCTCTCTCAGCTTCTTAGAACTGGTCATTGCTAAGCTGTTGTGCATTTTCTGCTCTCTTAGTGCTTTAAATGCATAATTACAAATATATCTTCTGGAGTGAGGCAACATGTAATCGCTCTGAGACTTGTCCTACTTATATATCTTAGAGCTCTTTCCCCAGCAGCACCCACTTTTTTTATTTAATTACTAGAAAAATATTTCCTCATATATCCATCAGATTAGGTTGATTAGGGTTATGATTCAATGCAAACTAATACTTTATGGCATACCTTACTGTTTGTAGTGAAAAACCAGCTTATTGGTGCTCACATGTTCAATCAAACATTACTCTAGGTGTGATTGAGAAAGTGCTTCTGGATAACATTAATGTTTGAATCAGTAAAGCAAAAGTCCCCCCCCCCCCCACGAAGTGGCCTCTTCCAATCCTTTAAAGGCCTGCGTAGAACAAAAAGTCACAAAAAGAATTTACAATCTCTAACTGTGAGTTGGATATCAGTCTTTTTCTGTCTGGGCTCAGATTTCCACTTGAACTGTAACCAGCATCATCAATTCTCCAGTGTCTGCCTGGCCAGCTGCAGATCTTTCATAATTGTGGGAGCCAATTCCTCAAAATAAATCAATTAGTGTCATCCTCCACCCTTTTATTGTCTGAAGAACCCAGACTAATAACAGTGACCATTTCATCCAGGTCTCTCAGTCTTTCTTGTCCTCTCCCTCCGTTCTACTTCACTGGAAAAACCCAGACTAATGCAACAATCATTTTTCCTACCAGATGTATTTTAACTCCCCCAGAGTCCCTCCTTTTCTTTCAGGTGCACCCTGTATCTTCCTCATGGAAATGCCATTTTATTGGTCTGTTTACCTATCTTTTATTTTCTTCTAGTTTTATGTTCCTTGAGGATAAATACTGGGAGACAGTGTGAGAAGAGGAAAATAAGTATTAGTGAAACCACCCTTGGGCATTAGACATTGTTGACAGAGCTCTCATTTTGTTTCCTATCTGCTGTGGATATCATAAGGCTGTTGGGGTGGGAACCTCCAATGACTCCAAATCTTTACCTTTCTCAGCATCTAGAGGTACTTGCATCATCTCCTGATGCATTCTATCTTCCATCTTCAGAGCAGCAGAACAGCATCTTCAGATTCCTGTGACTCTGACCCTCCTCCTCGCCTTGTATCCCTTACACAGATCTGTGTTTGTTTCACTCATCCAAATAATCCAGGGTACTTGCCCTATTTAAAATCCTTAACCTAATCACCCTTGCAAAGCCTATCTTGGCATATGAGATAACATGCTTACAGGCTCAGGGATTAGACGTGGATGACATTGGGGCTGGGGGCTGGTATTGTGCTCCTCTTTACCTGAGTCAGCCACTTGGGGTCAGCCTTTACTATACAAGAGTAAGAATATGGGTGAATGAGAGAAAACCCAACCTTCCTCCTAGAAAACAACTCACAATATATGCACCATCTTTCTGACTGTGTTCCTTCTAACACTGCAGCTGTTCGGTCTTGCATAGAAGGTAGCCGCAGGGAAAGGGTAGACAAACCTCCAAGATGCAACCAGATGCGGAAGAATAAAACAGTAGAGGCCAAAGGAGACCTTAGGCAAATGCAGATCTGTCAGGTAAGGCCCAATGAGGTTGATGAGAGTGTGGTACCTGGTAAAAATGGGGCTCAGGAGCTGGGTTGCCTAGTTTCAGACAAACCTTGGACAGTGACCTAGGGCAAGTTCCTCTGCTCTTGGGAGCTGAGGAAGCTGGAAGTTGACCACAAGTGCAGGGCTGCAGCATGACCGCTTGGGTCATGGCTGCCCCAAGAACAAAGAGCACTTGGAGTAAGCCACGTGAAGAAGCTGCTTTAGTCTGGAAAAACACCAAGCTCCCTAGACAGTTCAAGCAATGGGTTGCTAGGCAGCAGTGTTGATGCTGACATTATCCTTCATGCCTCTCTACCTCTGGAATGATTTGAACCTGTGTCTTTGACCAACTGAGGCAACTTGGGATTAATTGCTTGATTAGCTTCATGAAGCACCGAGATAAGGTCACTCATTTGCTTTGTGTTATTAGGTATAAAGAAAGTGTATGCTGTGCCTGTGTTGGTACTGTGAGCAGTTCTTCCAATTTGATAAATATAATCGTCTAAGGAGTTAAGATAGTCATAATTAATGACAAATTTCACATCTTCCACATCTAGCCCTCTGGAGGCCACATCTCTAGCAATGAGAACAGGAGCTGTATAAAACCCAAGGCAAATGGGACTAGGAAGAAATTGAGGAAAGCACCCCCATTGTTTGGTGGGGCCAAGGCAGGCCCACTAAAAGTTTCCCAGAATTGACTGACCTTTCATATCTATTTTGGATTTACATTTATTTTTCTAATAATATCCTCATTGGCACTTTGTACAAATGCTAGAAGGTTTTGTAAGAGATAGGTAATGGTTGTGTTGCCCAGGTCTCCAGTGGGTTGCTGAGGACTTTATAAGGACTTTTTATATAGCAAAACTATTAGGTGAAGGAAGTCCAAGATGGGGAAAATTGAGAAATCACAAGGTAGACATAAGGTGAGACAAAACTGTGGTCAACTAGTAAGACTAGCAACATAGTTGCTCAGGTAATATTGATTAAATTGGGATCAAATAGGGAAGCAAGTCAAGTAGCAAGTAGGCATGAAACAACAGGGCTTTTCTTAGAAAGAGTGTGTCAGTGCCTCTTCCTATTTAGAATACCAATCACTGTTTATCCTTGGGAAGTATGTGGGTGCATTCCTTTCATCTTTTGTCTTGGGATCTGGCCCTCAGCAGATATGTCTGTCTCCCCTACAGTTGTAATATATCCCATCTTTTGTACTTACTCCTTTGAGGGCCTAGACCTGTCTGACTGTTTATAATACTTCTACCTAACTTAGCTGGCTATAGCATTCCCCTCTAAAGAAGTATCCTGAACTGCTATGAGGAAGCAATGAATGGGTGATGATCAAAAAAAAAGGGTCTATGATTGACAGAGACACTCTCCAGAGCATCTATCTAAAGACCCTCAATAGACACCAGGCATTCTCATCTTTAGTAGGCATATAGTTTAAAGTCTGGAGGAGACAAAGCTGTAGAAACAAGTATCCATGGACCAAATAATAAGATTGACAGGGTAATTATGAATACAATCAACAAGGTTTCTACCAGGAAGCGTCTTTTTGACCTATGATGACTGGAAGGAAGGCTAGACTGGAAGAGGGCAAAGAGATGTGACAATAACCAGCAATAGGCTATATTTTTTTTCCTACTCAGGGCTCTTCCATGGTGGAGATGACAGAAATGACAATCCATCCAGTGTCCCTTTCGTCTTGCTAGATCAGCTGGGGAGACTTAACTGAGCTCTGGGACCTCTGTCTCAAAGTTAAGTCTCGCTACCAGTGGCAGCCTTTGCAGTCGGGGCATGACCTGGGGAACCTCTTATGGCAATCCCTCTTAAGGTAGCCTGGTTTTTCATAGTAGGGGCAATTGCACCTAGTTTTTGAGCTTTTTTTGAAGCCCCAAGAATCAGACTTAGGGTCTGTTCTTTTAAAGGCCATAACACAAGCAGCCACTTTTCGGTCTCTGTTTTCTCTCCTTGGCTTCCTCCTAATCCCAACTATAGAACACGAAGGAAGCAGTTTTATTAAAGTATCAAGTTGACACCTACAACTTAAAGAAACAGAGGTTTATTTGGCTCATGTACTGGGGATTCAGTCCATGGACAGCTGGCTCCAAGGCAGAAATAGCATGGTGGACAGGTGAATTCATGTTTGCTGGGAAGCAGAGCAGATCAACAGTTCTCAAGGTCACACCTCTATCATATACCCCCTAGATACCAAAAGTGTGTTTTACTCTAATGCTAGGTGGGTTGTCAGAGCCACCCACCCACCCCCGATAGGTTGTTTGTTAATCCAAT